CTAATGCTTGTATCTAAGTAGTTGAATGTATGGACTATTGCAGGGAATTTTTCACAGAAATTTTTTCTAGCTAGCGCCATTTTAGTACTTCTTGCGACCAAACTCAAAATCACTTTCGAAATGCCGTCTTTGAGGTTCGGATCTGCGAGATTAGGCAAAAAATAGCTTCTGAGTAATTAAATTAGAACGCAAATCCTTTTTCTTTCTAGATACAAATCATGAATTTAGTTTTGGTTGATGATTTGAAGAGTTAATAAACTTTATTTGATTTACATAGTAATTTTCTCATCAACCTGATATTTGGAAGCATTTAAGTTTGCTAGCAAATGTTTTGATGATTAACCTTTTTCCATGATTTTTATAGCGTTTCTATGAGTTTAGAAAGAAACACTTACTTCAAACTTCATAAAAGGCATGAAACTTTTTCCACTCAGTTGTTACCTTGAATTAGGCTAAAAAACATTCTCAAAACATCACAATCAAGAATATGCAAAAAGGTCAAAAATAGGCTTCGTCCCAGCTCACTTTGCTGCTGGGAGTAAAATGGGCTTCCAAGTCTATTTAAAATGGAGGTAAATCCCATTTTGCCCCATTTTAAGTGGACTTTTCGCATGATATCCTTTCGCAAGCGAGAGCTCAATTAGGGTTGAATCATTTTCATCACACCGCTTTGCCTCGTGGTTGCGATGAGATAGAAATTTTTGGATAACGCTAGCGAAAGCAGATTCCGACCAATTTTTACCGCGAACGAATAAAATGGGGTTTGGAAGTCCATTTTCCTCCATTATGGACTTTCGTGGATATCACTCCTGCTTGTGTCATTCTGCAATATCATCAGTACATACTCCAGAACGATAGCGGTGATCTCCTGCTGTTTGTGTATTAAAAGGTGAGCAACAGGCCAAAATGCATACCGTACAGCTTGAGTGTGTGCTTTTTTCTTCTATCATTACGAGTGGAAGGCACACCCTTATATTCGGCAATTTAGATAAGCACAGCACTGAAAATGCTATAACCCGACCCTTATTAAAGCCTACAATCTCGAAAGGCAGTAAATGAGAATAGTCAGGAAATATCTACAAATTAGATGAGATATTACTGATTCAAAATGCAACTCTGATGCGAGGTCAGGAAATGTGTTGCCCAACATGCTTTGCAAACATACAGATTTCTCGAAGAAACGATCAAGCGGAAATGGATATACTTCTAAACATAGTAGATTTGCGTCTGTCATTGTGTCATTCTATACCGGCACTGAATCTAGCTCCTTTGCCATTCTTTCTTGCTCATCCGTATCAGAGTTTGAGGAGGTTTTTTTGTGAGAAAGCTTAATAAGCTTACGCATGGTAAACATGGGTCACTAGTAGAAAGTATAATTCTTGAAAATTGATAATATTCGTCCTCAACAAACTGGCATCGCGGAGCAATGAACAGCTTTGAGAATAAGGACTCGGCTTTGGTTGTATAGTGAGTACAGGAGATTGGCATTACGTCTTTTCAGCTTCTTTAAATTCACTTGTTGGCGTGTCATACGTGGATCATTTGATTAACTTCTAGCTTTGGGATGGATGATAGAGATAGTCTTTCGATATCCACACTTATGTCAAGGATGGTGAAAAAGCTTTCAAGGCACGGGTGAGTGACTTTTCATACGATGAGCAATTCCGAGGTGCGAGGTGGGAACACCCACGGCTAAGTGTGAAGTCTCGCACCTGCCTGTCTAGTATACTGTAGAAGGGGGGGGGGGGGAGGGGGACTTTTCATACGAATGCCCCCACATCATCTTTTGGCAAAGATCGAGTAAAAAGTGGCACCATGCCAGGTTTGGGCCTGCGGACTCCATTCCAAAAAACAAAACATCTAATATCTCCTCCATGACGAAGGCGGTCGCCCAAATAGGTTGACAGCATGCAAGGCTGACGCGCACGCGGCGCGCGGGCAATCGTCAACCACGGGTCGCGCGCGCTCGCGTGGATGACCGCTGACCGAGCGTGCGCGCGCCCTGTGGTTGACAATTGCCCGCGCGCCGCCGCCTTTCATGCTTTCAACCTATTTGGGCGACCGCCTTCGTCTTGGAGCAGATATTAGATTAGCTTTTGCAGTACCGCAAATTTGGATAAAATGAAAACTTGAATGCTGTGTGAATTCAAGAAGTGTTTTGCTGTGAAAAATAACATCACGATCGTTCCACACGAATTTTTTAGTATTTAGGTCGTCATAATTCGGTTTTTCTTTTACAAACGTTTTGAACTGATTTTAGTATTGTCACATGCCTCTCCGAGCCTTCAGCATGACCTGGAAGTGCTACTCTTCCCATAGGGGTTATTGGAGCAGGAGACGGTCAAGGGGCGCGTTCCTGGGTGTCATCAACTTAAAACTCCAGTTTCATGCTATGGGAGAATTCAAAAAGTGCCGGACATAGTTTATTGGCTCATTAGATGTTTGAAGTAACGTTTGAAGTAAGCTTTATACAACAGATAAAATCAAGATATTCTCTACTTTACGCATTTTTGATAATAAACGTTTCATTCTAGTCCATTGTAATCGATAACTGGTCGTATTACCAGCACTCTAGCATACCGCTAGAAGGTCAAAGTGATCGGGGAGCGTTCGTATGAAAAGTCCCCCCCCCCCCTAAAGGCACCGTCCACCCAGATTCTCGACCTTCCATTTTGATCGTTCCGGAGCCTTCGCGTGTCCCTAATTCCGATTATGAAGTCGAGAGTCCGCGAAAACTCCAATAATCCCCGTTCCGGAAGACCGTCAGGCGGCTTTCCGAAACGGTGATTGGCTGGACGCGCGCGGGTGGGCGGGCATGGACGGGGGTCCACGTGCATCTTCGCTATTTCGGAGCTCGCTTCCGAAGCAGGATCTTGCGCCGCGACTTGGGCACTGTATTGACAGGGGGCCCTACTATTATATGCTACTAAAAGCTCAACACCCTCAACTTAGGGTGGACGGTGCCTTTAAGTGGGTGAAACACAGAAAAAGTGTGTTGGGATAGATAGGTAGTTAGATCTAACAGAATTAAGAGAGAAAATCTGTATGAGGGAAACTTCAGGTGCTGTCAAATTTTCGGTGACATTGTTCCTTAGACAGTATTGACTTACCAAGTGCAGTGTAGACTCAGATTCTTCAAGACCAAGAAAGTGGAATTTTTTTGCTTTTATCTGTACTTGCTCAATTCTTCGCACAGATTTATTTGAGAAGATATTCAAAGATTTCTTTTACTAAAAAGAAATCAGAAAACTCATAGATACCCGGCAAACGGTGAGGGAATTTATCTACCCAATGACTTGCTGCAACGTATTTATGGAGGTCAAGAACTGTCAGCAACGCTAATTAGCACTCAATTTGCACCGTGGCGGAGCTGATTTCTGCAAGAGTAATCTCATCCTATAATATATGAAACCGAGATTTCCTGGAGTTTTTGAACTCGAACTTCAATAGTGACTTTCGTCCGCTTGGGGTAAAAAGTATTTAGGGTCTTTTTCACACGGTGTTTCTGAAAATGCTGGTGGTCACCCTCTAAATCTGAATCCTCGAAAACAGATTTTAGTTTGATTCCGATGACAATCATTTTTTATTTTGGTGTCTAAAATAGCAGTGCAACGTAAAATTTTAGTCGGATTCGGAATCAACCGATTTGTTTTGAACATAGCAGAATTTTTACTTATTTCCCAATTTTTTAGCTTTGGTCTGTTTATGTAAGTATATGTTCCAAAACCAATTCCGAAGGATTAAACAAAACCTGCAGCATATTTGGGTACATTTTCGCAAACACCGTGGGAGAAACCTCTAAATATCACACAATTGGACGAGAGTCACTACTGAACTATGAGTTCAAAGTTTTAGTGAGATCTCGGTTTTATATATTATAGGATGAGGCCTACTGTGTACAGAAATCGGCTACGTCACGGTGCAAATTGGGTGCTAATTAGTGTTGCTGACAGTTCAACACCATAACTATTTTGCGGCAAGTCATTGGGTAGATAAGTTCCGTTCTCCGGTTATTGGTAATCGTGAGAATTATTGTGTTGATTAGTGTTTATCTGCTGCATTCTCCTAATGAATATGTATAAAGGACGGAATTAAAGAAAATAACATAGAATTACACTTTCGTCGGTTTTAGCGAACCTGAGTCTACCACAGCACCAATCACCAAAAGGTGTTTTTTCTCAAGAGCTTATATTCAAGCTATATTTGTAAAAAGCATAATTTTTTCTGTTTAAAAGACTCTGGAACTTGATACAGCAGGAAGTTCTATGAAGAAGGTACGATAGGATTGCCGGTTCAACTTAACATTCGATGTGTAGAAAGACCTCAGTAGTTTTCCTGCGACTTGGGCAAGATATCTACCACATCCACATTGACTTACCTTCACTACATGAAAATAAACTCCAAAAATCAAGCTTTTGACATCTGTCGACTGATGCTTCTTTCATCAGATATTTTAAAGGAGATTTTCTCTTTTGGTTTCTTTTACATCTTTTATTCTGGAATAGACCATAGATATCACGTCTGAGAAGAGATAAGTCTATACTTAGTTCAAAGTTACTTCTAGTCGCACTGGGAAATAATGCTAGAAGAAGAATGCAAGATTGACAAGACCGAGTGCAAATTCAGATATTGTTCTTCGTTTCGTCTTCACAGGGTATAATAGCGACATTTTTGTTCTTGAAAAAGTATTCCCATCTGATTTACCTTGTCGCACTCCAGTACCCAAGCTCTGAGATCTATGCTCTCGATAACTTTTTTTTTTCGAAAAACAATATCCTCGAGCGATGAACTTTTATGCGATTGGCAATGTTTATATTCGCATGATCCCTTCTGTCAGCCAGCTGTCCCTCGGCCACGCTCTAAAGCACGCAGCGCTTCTTCAAGCAACCAACAAAACCTTGCCTTCAGGCTAATTTCATCGCTTTCTCACTATCCAAGTGTTATCGATTCGTTTTGCTTGAACGATTTTCAGTTGTTTCATCTTGGTCCCGGGTCGAGTTATCGCCTTGGCTTTATTGTCTCATTTTTAGTCCTTGATTTGACCTATTTACACTTGTGAAAAAATTGTCTGAAGTTAGGAAATTTCGTGTAAAACAATGTGTGTCAGCAGCTGACGCTGAGTTAATGTGTGAGTTTGAGTGAACTCATCGTAAGATGCACACACACACACACACACACTCACGCCAACACACCGACTAGCTCTAGCTTTGCTACTCTGGCCTCGTCTTGACGCCTGAGACCTCGTTTTCTCGCCATTCTCGGCTTGTTGTTTATAGAAGAGCTGCTGTTTTATGATCCGCACCTACGAAAATGGATGCAAGCATTATAAACCGACGCTTAGAGTAAGTTTTATCCGTGTTAATAATTATCGCAATTACACTCCATCTCATTGCTCTCGTTGTTTTTTTACGTCTGGAACCTGTCCTTGTTGCAGAATATGCAAGCTTTTTTGATTTCTTGTTTACGTTCTTTCTCAAAAGCTTGTTTTCGTGCAAAAATCACCATGTACACTAAATGTATACTTTGACACGATGATAATCCTATTTACTTCAACTTCTAGATCTTATTTCGTAAAAACTGATATTTTAGGCACACATTATACAGAATAAGAGAAAATTTTTGCAACCTTCTGACTCTTTCGGCTTTATTCCATGCAAAAATCACCACGTATACTAATAACTATAAAGCTTGAAAAATCGTACTTTAGTAAAAGCATCATTTCTAATAAGCATGCGGATCCAAATAATTTATTCTAAAGTTGAAAATTCAACTAAGTCTATGCCAAATCCATTTTGTATGAACATTTGCTGCAGCATGTAACTCTAGTTTTGAACCTTTTTGCAGAAAGAAATATCTATCCTCTTCTGCACTTGCAGCTAAATGGGCCTACGTGCTAATTAGTTCTACATCTCTAGAAATCTCATCTAGAAGTTTCGCTTGCTCCGAACAACATGCACCTTTCTAAGAAACACACCTATAGTGGTGATGTTGAAGATCTATTAGAGCTAGTCTTTCAGCTTCTACTTTGCTATAATTTCGCATTTCCCATAAGATCATAGATTTTGGTCAGCTGCTTTTTTTGCGGTTTTTGTTTGACTCGAGATATAAATGTTATATTCAAATGAAGCGATTTTCCTAAAAATGACAAAAATTTGCGTAATTTATGATTTTATGGGAAATGCGAATTTATACCATCCTATACGCTCTAGAAATCTGTAGGCTTTGTCCTCATGAAAAAACATATCTTCGATGTTCTCTGACAAAAACTCTAATGACGGGTTGAAAGATTCACCGGCTTACTTAAATTCGTTGGAATAGGTTCGTTTATTATTTCCATTTTATCTCAAGCGTGACATGATTTTGGTGTTCTGAAGGAAATGACTGTGGTGAACACACCATATTGATGCTTTAGCATAATTTGTGATAGTCATTTTGATATGAATTTTCGTGGACGTTGTCAGAACATATGCAAGTCTTGTGCACACTAAGCTTGTACTTAAGATGAAAACGTTAACAAGGTCTGTTGCTATCAAACAGAATATGGAACGGCATATTCCATTCAATAAGCCCAGCCCTATAAATAGTTTTGGTTTAGGATTAAAAAAAGTTATGCGGGGTGCAAGCTCATTTCACAGCTTTTAAAGGCAGTGGGTCGGCAGAATGAGACCCGTGGCAAAACAAGGTCACAGGGTAGGAGCCCCATAATGGAACCTATGGGCCAAAGTTCGATCTTTCTCTGCCACTTCTAACCCCCGAAATTTCAAAGCGAAAACAGCGCTCATCTCCTGTCCTCTCCGAACCCGCCCACCCCATGGACGAGTGATTTCCGCGGTCAGAGCGCCAGCCGCAGTGCTATAAGCATGAGGTCCCGCAACGACTCTGCGTCTTCGCCATGACGGGCTTCGCGTTCACTCGTCCATGGGGTGGGCGGGTTCGGAGAGGACAGGAGATGAGCGCTGCTTTCGCTTCGGAATTTCGTGGGTTAGAAGTGGCAGAGAAAGATCGAACTTTGGCCCATAGGTTCCATTATGGGGGCTCCTACCCTGTGACCTTGTTTTGCCACGGGTCTCATTCTGCCGACCTACTGCCTTTAACGTCCAAATCCAAACCATTTCTCATGAGATATGAAGTCTCCTTGCTCTTTTTGATACAAAGATCAACAATTTTTGATATTAACTGTTTGAACTGTAAAGAGAACCTCAAAGCAAAGTTTTACTCTGTTTTAATGCTTTCAAGAATATAAAAAATGTAAAAAGGAAATTTTTTTTTAAAGTTGTAAAACTTCTATAATAAGAGCAGAAAAACAAGGCGCTGAAGAAGCTGAGATTTATACGAAAAGGAAATGGTTGAATATATGGAAATACAGAGTGTCCCAAAAAGATGTACACTCAGAGGTGCGATAGTCGGAGCCGATTCTCCGCCTACCTTCACTTTTGAGCTGGTACAGGGTGACCACCTTCACTTTTCGGTTTGAAAAAGTTTTTTTGCTGAAGCTCAAAAGAAGGAAAATAAGCAAAAGGAATGTAAAAAAAAGTATTAAGAGCATATATCTATGTAGTAGGTCGATCCAGGCAGTAACCGCCGAGAACCAGAATTTCGAATGATAAAATAATAAAAAATCGTGAAAAATCATTTCACTGTTACAAATCTGCTGGCTGAAGACCTCCGCAGTTGCGACTTCATAGGTTTTGAAGGGTAAGTGTTGTTCTACCAGACAGTGAAAAAATCAGATTGATTTGAGGAGTGGCCGCCGAGAACGAGAATTTTGAAAAACCTTAAAAATCTGCTCAATTTTAGGTTGTTTAATGACAACTGACATTTAAACTATCATAAATCCGGACTTTGAAGGTGTGTGATGTTGCGACTTCATAGGTTTTGTAAAGTGAGGTTTGCCTTATCAGAACATGTCTTAGCTGTACCGATCCATTGAAACGTCGCCGAGATCCAGGCTCCTAAAGAAGCGGGTAAAAAACCGTTTTTCAGCTCATAACTTCTTCAGAATTGCATGAATCATGTTGCGACTTCATAGGTTGGATTCTCCTCATCAAGAGCTTTCAGATGATATATAATATGTGGGGGGTTCACGCCTTCCACGGCATATGCCCGGGGGTGGAGTACCTCTCTTCACTAATTCTCCACTGGCGGCCTCCCGCCAATACATTGAAATGGGCGGGGTGGAGAATTAGTGAAGAGGAGTACTCCACCCCCGGGCATATGCCGTGGAAGGCGTGAACCCCCCACATATTATATATCATCTGAAAGCTCTTGATGAGGAGAATCCAACCTATGAAGTCGCAACATGATTCATGCAATTCTGAAGAAGTTATGAGCTGAAAAACGGTTTTTTACCCGCTTCTTTAGGAGCCTGGATCTCGGCGACGTTTCAATGGATCGGTACAGCTAAGACATGTTCTGATAAGGCAAACCTCACTTTACAAAACCTATGAAGTCGCAACATCACACACCTTCAAAGTCCGGATTTATGATAGTTTAAATGTCAGTTGTCATTAAACAACCTAAAATTGAGCAGATTTTTAAGGTTTTTCAAAATTCCCGTTCTCGGCGGCCACTCCTCAAATCAAACTGATTTTTTCACTGTCTGGTAAAACAACACTTACCCTTCAAAACCTATGAAGTCGCAACTGCGGAGGTCTTCAGCCAGCAGATTTATAACAGTGGAATGATTTTTCACGATTTTTCATTATTTTATTATTCGAAATCCTGGTTCTCGGCGGTTATTGCCTGGATCGACCTACTTTCTTTGCAGTACGTCATAACAAAATGTACTTGATGAAACACACAAAGTCTAGCTGGGTTTTACTTACAAATAGACCTTTTGACTAACAGTTTACTTTATTTTTATTTTTATGCGCTGTAGTCATCGTATTTGTGGCCCTAAAGAGGGCCGTTAGGTCACAGTTGTTGGCCCTAGGGGCCGTTAGATGAGAGTTCTTCAGTTATCCGAAGTCCTCCCTCCCCCTACCCCCCCCGGTCAACGTTTTTGGGAGGTGAGTGTCCGACACTACCACCTTCACTTTTGGCCGGCCAGTGGTAACTGGAACCACCTTCACTTTTGGGGGGCCCGGCTCCACCTATCGCACCTCTGTGTACACTGTTAAATTTCATGTCTTTTGTCGAGCTTGAGGAACCATTGTGTAGAGCGAGGTTTAACTTAGGTTCATGGTATGGAGCAGATCTATAATCGCTTTTCATTGCTGTATGATTACGGCATGAACTTTCAGCACACATCGTCACTGTGGAATAGGCCTTTTGATGAAATAGTTTCAAAAAAAATCTGAAAGTTAGTGTAGCAAGGTTTTCAGGCATGCTGATTTCATTACATAACTTTCCACCAGTTTTTTGAGCTTTCTTGATGGCGTATTCACATGTCTGACTAACATTAGAAAAACAGTTGTTATCCTAAATCTGAAATAACTCATGAAAGAAGCACTATACCGAAATGCAATCTTCAAATTCAGCGACTCTAGTTAGACCAGTACAAGGGTTTCTGGCTTGTTTGGTTTTCCTTCTAAGGCAAAAATCACTTTCGGTGGCTTAAAATCCTTTTCGAAGTTCCTACCTTAATCCTACAGTAATGAAAAGCGACTGATATATAACTCGCTCCTTACTGTAAATCTAAGTCGAATCTGCCCTAAAAAAGAGTAGCTCAAGCTCGGTGAAAGTCATGAATGCAAGAGAGTTATACGATCAAACATGTGCATATCTTTTTGGGGACACCCTGTACAGGGTGCGGCAATAGTCTGGGAGCCTATTACTTTTTCGTACAAAACGAGAAGAGAAGTTCCTAGAAACGAAGAATTTGGCGCACACATAATTCGAACCATTGCAGATACAGCCCAGTTCTTGAATTGCAAAACTGCCTCTTTTGGCTACCACCCAGCCCTACAAAATCTTTGCAAATCCACCTGTCATGTCACGCAGGTAGTCGTAATGGAATTTGCCCCACGCCTTCACAATAACTGCTTTTTTTACCTTGGCAAATGTGCAGCACAATAGAGCAAGCTTTTATCTACAAGATGCTTCCAAGAATTTTTTGCATTGCTTAGGAATAAAAATATTGGATTTTCAATTAAAAGCATGTGTACGTCGCATACCGGAATTTTGGCTAATTGCGCGAATGAAAACTCAAAATTTTCGTTTAAAAAGTATAGAAAGTGTCCCCATGGCCGAATTTCAATAGATTCTAATTTAGAAGACGTATGCAAAAAATACGGCCTTGGTCCCAGTGCATGTTGGGCCTTCTATAGCTTTCAATTTTATTCTGAAGACGGATTTCCACTGGCACTTAGGTAACATTCGCAAACTTTTATTTTCCGTTCATGCAAGAACAGCTCCTGGCAAAAGCAAAACTAAGATACAATAGCGCAAAGCCTCTTCTATGTTGTGTGCATCGAAGTTTTGTAAAATATTAACAGCATCTCTAGCTACAACAAAAATTGTAAATACTAAAAATTCTGGTTTTTTCGCTTTGCAAAAGTACTAGTTTGGTAATTTCCATTCTTACAAGAACATATGGCAGCCATTTCCAGCCAAGTAAAGTGTATTCTGTAGAGGATGACCGCAGCATCATGTGGCATAAAATTGAAATCAAAACCATCAGTATCTTTGTAATTGCAGTACTGCAGATTTAAGCTCCCAAACTTTTGCCGCACTCTGTATATGCAAAAAAATGACTTATTACATGATTAGCGAAAGCACTAATACTGTATAGTGACTAGTTTTATAATTTTCCACTTTTGTATTTTTAAGCATATAATTGCTCATTGGTACTGCTGTATATTAGAGAATGGCATATACATTTTTTACAATTGTAATTTTCAGCTTGTATGTTCAATCTTATCGCTGACCATCTCATTATGCGAGTTCACCCTAGCAATCTACGAGTACTCATTTTCTAGAGGTGGAAATATCATAGCAGCGATATTTGCATGTAAGTTGTGACTATATTTCTCATTGCATATGTATCACCAATCAAATGGATGAATATCATAGGTGTATTTTCGTTCCACGGGTGCATTACTTTTTTGTACTTTATTGGAGTGCTCAGGCGAAATCCTTGCTTTCAAGTGCCATTCCTTACTTTACAGGTATAGCTTTGTTCACTTTTATTGAAAAACATCTTACATTTATTATACCTGGTGGTTTCGAAAAAGATGCTGAAAAGTGTTATTTAACCTGGAGCAAGCACTCTATATGTATGAAATCTGAAATGGTATTTTCAAATCTCAAGGGCTGTTCTGCAAATTTTCGTTCAATAATGGATATTTTGAAAAACACAGCAAGATAAACGAGTGTTGTGCCACTTAAAGTTGCGAATCTCACGTGGAATCGATCATTTGTCGCTATAATAAATCTTCGAATCCATCATTGTCCTGATAAAGCACGAGACATAGGAACGTTAGAGCATTTTCCAGTGAGAACGCGGACGATTAGCGGAGGGAGCTTAGAATGCAAAAATAGTGGTCTCAAACATGATTATGTATAGAATAAATCATATTCGAAAGTGGTGTGATTTTGGAATTTTACATGTACCTTGCGGTCGCGGTTGTTATGAAAGTGGATTTGTAGTAGGGGTATTAAGTTGGCACGAAAGTTCTGTCGCACCATTTTCAAAATTTCATAATTTCTGATTCTCCCAATCAACTTGCTTGCTTACATTTTTGTTTGAAAGAGTAATTTGTACACTTTATATAGCAGGTTCTTTCACCAGGTATTTCTAACTGGGCAAAATCATTGAACGTCTTCTTGAAAAGTTATGATTTCCGAAAAAAATGCGAAAAAATCACGCTGTTTTGTAATGACTCAAAAAATCATAACTTTTCAAAAATCATAACTAAATTATCATAACTTCAATCGACAATCGGCACAAACTTTGCATAGTCAGAAAAAAAGGTAGTAAAACCTGAAACTGACTCTTCTGATTTTTGTTGCAAGTTTGAGATTTTTTACGACCTGACTTAACAAAATCGAAATTTGAATAATTTTCTTCTACGGCTTCTCTATATCCTGTGTGTGCACACTGAGAAGCCGCTAAGATGATGGAGGGCATTCATACCTTCTAATTTTAAAAGACGAAGGCAAGCAAATTGATTGGGAGAATTAGAAGGCATGAATTTTTTGAAAATGTGCGACAGAACTTTCGTGCCAACCTAACATATTGAGTAGCTATAGCAATCGTAATTTGCCTTAAAATACGTTTTGGCGACCGGAAAACCAGAACATTTAATTCGAGATCTTTAGCACTAGGCTTTCCAGACCATTCCCTAAAATATAATGCTGTTCCGCTTGCTCTCTATTTTGCCTTGATTCTCACTCGAGAAATGTAGTGGGCGAAGTATGTATAACATTCCACACTAGGAAAGTGTATCGGTTACGTCCTGTCTGAATTCTTCGATTGCAGCTTATATTCATGACATCACTTGGTTTACTGGTTGTAGTGTGGTGGATAGCAACATTACTTGCTGCTTTCGACTTAGTGCATTATAGGAGTCCAATAGGTAAGCGGTGAAAATATTTCTTACGTTTCTATATTCAAAAGTTACATCATGGTATTCTGGAGGCGCTTCGACAAGGTTTCGCAGTAGGAAGTGTACTGTGTTTATGTAACAAACGCAAAAAGATCGCAAAAAATTTTCTAGGAAAGACAACACTGAGTTTTTCCTTCCTTTGGACCTTTTGAAACAACATCAAATTTCAAAGTTCTATCTAACCGCAAGAACTGTTGCGTAGCCAACTTTGTAGACTAAGATGTGATTGACTCACGCCTAAACAACTATTACAGTTTAGTTCCACGTCTAAAATAAGTAGATTATCTAGTCATTGATTTGGGATACCGTAAAACTTTGGTAATGATCTTGCGGCTATGCGTGACTGCGATCAAGAACATCTGACTGCTTTGTTGTATACTTCTGTCTTCCTAAGGGTTTTGAAACATACGTTCAGTGGTCGCGAATAGATGAAAAGGTTATTGTGCTTGAATGGTCGCGGTTCTCTAAATTTCTATGATTTATGAAAGCTGAGCGTTTGCGCTAGGAGTTTCTAGGCGCGTGAAGATTTCGCTTCGATGACTTCTTGCATAGTAAAAGATTCCATACAACTTTTTCATAAGATTTGTGGTATCTGAGTTTCCTTTTTACAGAAAATTTAACGAACTGCGAATTCTTTATGGCTGCTGGGGGCGTGTTGCTGGTGCTCTTTATACTATGGATGAAGATCTCGCTTGTTCTCTATCGAGGTTACGTCCGGACAGAACGCGAGGCTCATTACAGGAGAAGGTTATCGTGTGGACTGCAGTTGTCTAGAAGTAATACATTTCCTCCAACGCCTGTATGATTAATGTATACTGTAATAAATATTTGGAGTATTGTTACTGTCCTATATCTCATCGTTTGGGTCATTCGATAATACATAAATATAATCCTCAACAATATTTTCTCATTTACTGGAAAGTTGGTCGAACTCCGGTCTTTCTCATGCTGAAAAAAGTGTTCTACGCATTTTTCATACTGTTTATATCGTATACATCATTTCGTATTGAATCGTAAAATATTACGTCGCATTCATGTTGTTTTTTATGTCATATTTATCATTTACATCACTTTTTATATTGTGCAGCTGGTTAAAGACTTCCTTCCCAAGCTTTCGCTTTGGAAGCCATTTATGAAGCCGAGCATGTATAGCAAATTTGAGGTTATGTACTTCATTTGAGGAGAAATAAGGCTCCGGATTCCGTTCCCCGAGGCAAGGTATGTATTACAAAACAGAAGCAAAAGTGAAAGACCTCTTTATTTTAATTACAGAAAGTACTCAATCAGTAATTGTAAAAAGTACTCAATCAGAAAAATTAATTTTTGACACTGAGGGTACACTTTAGGTAGTAAATTAAGAACCATCTGCCTGCTCTTCGCTGAGTTCTAAGTTACATAACAACACATGACAAGAAGTCTGCCAAAGACTTGTAAATTTTTTCAAAAAGTAAGAGAATGAGAAAATTTAGGAACTTGTCTGAAGAGTCCTTACTAAGCTTCTTGCTACGAAAGTATGCAAATAAGTGCTTTGATTCCCCTCCCCCATATCTATTTCTGTAGCATGCATGAAGTTGGCGATGCCGAATAAAGCTAATATTCTGCAGATCCGCATTTCTTGGCGAGAAAATCATATCAATAAGACGAAAATCCACGGAAACCAATAACAGTTTACCGTTTTTCCAGAAACTGTTGTATAATATATCTGTTATCCTCTAGCACCTTTTCATTACGGAATAAAATGATTAGTTGACGGGTCATACTTGGAGTGGTTATCGATATCAATCACAAATACTTGTATACTGACATCCGCATGCATGTTATCCCGCAAGATCTACATGTGTCCCCAATTACTCTCGCATACGTCGTGGTGAATTAATTTGAATGCTTTGATGGCTTCAGTGCTTTACAACCTCGTCTTCATTATTGTGCTGAGGTCAAAAGAAGGATTCGTACATTCGTGCATTGCTACTAGATCACCGGAGCGAGGACTTGGAGGAGGTTCTTTTTTCAATGCTTTACTAAGGTAAAACTTCGTACATGACCCAAATGGCGAGTTTCTATAAGCAGGTTTGCATCTTCTTGTCTCCGTTCTTGCTTTCAGCCTTTTCTTACTAGAAATTTCCATAAAATCCTGAAACTTATAGCAACTGCATACTTGCTGTGCGTTTTGATATTCAACTTTTTGCCGTAAAATTGCTTGCCAAAACTTCTTGTTCGAGCAAACTTCCTTGTTCATCTTTAGCGTGTGAAAACATAAAGCCTACTGTAGAGTATTTCGTTGATGCAAGAGTTTGCAAGTTTAGCACATAAGTTCTTATGAATTGATAATCTCCCTCAATTTCAACGATATTGCTTCATTTCAAATATGTCGAGAATAAATCTTGCGCCTTTTAGGAGTGATTTAGAGAAGTCTTTCAGTTTTTGCAAAGAAACAAGCCGATATAGAGTGAAACGCAAAACAAAATTGCTGCAGCGTTTACTGAAAGTCAATTTTGAGTTTGGTTTTGAATTTGTCCTTGCTCTTTCTAACAAATTTATGGTGATTTTGTATACCCTTACGTATGGTTAGAACCGAACTTCGAATTTCATTCGACTGATTTTGATTGAGATATAATCTCTAAGATATAAAATGGGACATAACATTTATCGTAAGCTACAATACCATCGGTGCCGCCTTTAAAATTCCCGAAATAAACGCGATGTCGCGTTGAAAGCGCCGCAACTTCATAACTCCCTTAAAAAAGTTTTTTAAGCAAAAAGGAGTAAATATTCGGGATCAGCGTCCCTCAATCTATTCAAAGCCATAATTTTATTTTCGAAAACTTAAATTTTCCATTCTACTGGTGACGTCACGGTAAACGTCCACGCTCCTGGGGCTTTTCAGCTCATAAGTCGCTGTATAGTCAGTAATCGTCGAGATTCGCTGGTACAAATCATTAATTACGTTGGAGAGGTCTTATTCCTTGTTTTTCATGAAGTTTTGGGAATCTAGAATTTTTTATTTCAAATAAAAAGAATTTTCTATCAACGCGCAAAGTTCAGAGTTTGAAGGTTCGTTATTTTAAAAATTTGTGTTCATAGGCGCATCATTTTATACTGTCAAATAGAACTGCACATTCTCTATAGGACTGATTAAAGAATACTATCTGTGCGAGTTTTTCACGCGAGATATATGAGCCCGAATCAGGATGTCCCACATTGCAATCAGAGCATGAGCATCTTGATTCTGCTCATATATCTCGCGTAAAAAACTCGCACAGATAGTATTCTTTGATCAGTCCTATAGAGAATGTGCAGTTCTATTTGACAGTATAAAACAATGCGCCTATGAATACAAATTTTTAAAATTACGAACCTTCAAACTTTGAACTTTGCGCGTTGATAGAAAATTCTTTTTATCTGAAATAAAAAATTCTAAATTCCCAAAACTTCATGAAAAACAAGGAATAAAACCTCTCCAATGTATTCAATGATTTGTACCAGCGATTACTGACTATACAGCGACTTATAAGTTGAAAAGCCCCAGAAGCGTGGACGTTTACCGTGACGTCACCGGTAGAATGGAACATTTGAGTTTTCGAAAATAAAATTATGGCTTTAGATAGAATGAGGGACGCTGATCCCGAATATGTGCTCCTTTTTGCTTAAAAATCTTCTTTAAGGGAGTTATGAAGTTGCGGCGCTTTCAACGCGACATAGCGTTTATTTCGGGAATTTTAAAGGCGGCACTGATGATAATGTATTTTGATCGAATACTGAATTGAAGAGATTTGAAGTAAATGAACGAAGTTTCAACATTGTTTCGTGCAAGACCCATGCATTATCGCAAATTGTTAGCGAGTGCCTGCCGTTACTGTCATCTGCACAACTATAATCTATCTAATGCAGAATTTATAATTGAATTGATCATTTTACTAAAATAATGCCTAAAATTTATTTCTAAATGGTTTTTACAGGAAGACCAGGAGCAGTAGTACCGCCATCGGCAACAACACGGGCGACAACGACTACATCGATTACAACTGCATCTCCCAGAGCTTTCAATAAGTTTTTACAATTTCTGACAGTGAGGCTAAACCAAGCAACGAAACCTTACCCCCAATGTGAAAATAGGACACGTCCCAGCCATAATGACTTGAGGATCAATCCTGAAATGTTAATCTCAGTTGAAAGCTATTGCTAGTAGCGCCTCTCACAGTTGGGAAATTGATGCGGGAAGATTATCAACTCTTTCATACCAGGATATTTTCCTCTGACGATTAAAAGTTTTTTAGAATTGCTATTGAGACATACAAAATATTAAGTAAAAGTGTGGATTTTTTTCGAACATAAAACTATTGATTTTCCTCTTTCTTTTTGGTTTCAAATTTTTTCGCATAAATTTTTTTGACAACATCTAGATCCGCGAACAAACACGATCAACCACGAACGACTTTATATCACGTATTCAAATTAATTCTAACTGTCCATCTCAACAATCGACGCGGCGTTTAGAACGTTGCGAGTTATCGATTTTTGGCGATTTATTTGCACTCAGAAATTTCTAACGCTAATTGCATAACGAAGTGGCTGCATAGCATCCGGAAGGGTAGTGAACGAAAAAAAATCTGCTGTTGCTACGGCAATAGAACTGTGAAATTGGTAGTGACAGTTGCTGTTGCCAGGTCCGAAAGGTTAAGTTTTTATCGTATACTTGCTTCAGGTTGTGCTCAAGACTGTCCCTCTATCTACGATGATAATTGCAATGGACTCATGTTGCTTATGCCCTGTAGTAATGGTCAATCAGTTATGGCTGCTGTGAATCAAGTGGGCGACATGCAACTATGCCAGTTCGTTTTTCGAATTTTTTGAAGGTTCAGTAAGTCAAATAGGCTGGGATTTTTGATATTTAGCTTAGCTGCTTGCTAGATAATTTGAGTAAAGCTTTGTCTTCTCTCCTAGCCTATGCTAAACATACCAGCGGTTGACGGTGGGACGTGGGGGATACCCCTCCTGCGACTCCGTAGGTCCCGTTTATTCACAAGTAAACTAAGTTTCAAAAAATTCATCAAACACTAATAGGGTCTGTCATGAACCCTGGCAGCAGCCCTGCCGAATCATTATCTCCCAAACTCTCCAGGGTAAGGACCTGCCGACTGGAGAGTTAGTCAAGTGGTCTAAAAAAACTGTGTCTTGCGATGATGATAATTATTTTATGTTTACACAATTTCATAAAAGTAGGATAAACAATAAATACACATTAGATAATTTCGGAAATAATCACATGACAACTGCATGTTGCTCCACTTGTGTTGTTTGCAAGTTAATGGATCATAGTCCATTTATAATAAGTACTTCAACAGGGTTGAAAATTCACACTTATTGTAAGAAAAATAGTTGCTGCGAAGACAGCAACGTAATTTACTGTGTCACATGTGAAGAATGCAATAAGCAATATGTGGGAATGACAACACGTAAACTTAAATATAGAATAAAAGAACACTTCTATCATTCGAAAAAGAATGACATAGACAACTTTCTATACAATCATTTCAAAACATGTTGCAACAAAAAAATAACCATTAAAATACCAGACAGCCTTCAAAATAACGAAAATAAAACTATATTAATGAATAAAGAATTGTTTTGGATCAAATTACTCAATACTGCATACCCATTCGGATTAAATGATAACATAAAAGGTTATGGAAACATATCTGATATCAATAATCCTCTCTTACATAAAGACACCCATCCTTACTACAGCTTAAATATCATCAAAGACAGAATACGCAGCAAAAATAGAAATAAGAATAAAAACAAAGAAACATTAGACATCTTCGTTAATACTATCAACCATACAATCACCCATCATGACATTTTCAAATATATTCATTCTTTAAAGAAAAACTTCATAAAACAAATAATCATAGCATCCTTTGATTCCGAATTTCTAAACAAAATAGAACAAAATAAAAAATCAATTACATTGAGTATTCTGTGTAAGTATATGTTCCATAATGACAAAAAAGAAAAATCAAATTCTAAATTTATAAATGTTAAAGTTGAATACATTCACCAAATATTAGATCAAGTTAATTTGAATAAAATCATTAATAGCACTTATATAAAGAACATTTTAGAAAACCCTAATGTAAAATACAACCCCTGCAGACTGGTATACATGTATAAAGAGCCAATATCACAAAAAATCTTTAACTACAACTCTATCCTTAATAAACTTGACGAAGATAAATTAAAACAAATTCTGTCAGAAAAATGCAATTGCAAGGAACCTGATAAAGAAAAATTTATTGACAACAACCACGGACATATAATTACTGGAAATCTGGATATAATCAAAGATAAGCGTTTAAAATCAATAATGAGTAAAGGCACTAAATATAGATTACAACAAAGCACCAACAAAAAAGAAGTACTTGAATGGATACAGGCAACCGTAGAAATCATTATGAACACATATATCAAAAAATACAAAATAAGCAATGAGAAACTCATCAACATAAAAGACTACCTCTCAAAAAAATTTCTACATAAATTAAAACCACTTCTTTACAAATCAAGATTAGAAAACAAACATAGTTATGATTTCAATTCCAAATACTTCAAAGAACTACGAAATAATTTCGTAATATGTCCATTAGATAAAGCCAGCAATAATTTTGGTCTGATATGTATCAAATTTTATATACAAAAGTTAATGAATGAACTAGGCATTAATTTAAAAGGACCAAATTTACAATTTTTACAAAATTCAACGTATGACATATACACAATGGAAAATAATACAGAAATCATCAACAGACACAAAATTTTTTGCAATAGCAATAAATTACATTTAGAAAAAGTTAATAATATTCCTCTCATATATGCAGTTCCAAAATTACACAAAACACCTACCAAATTCAGATTCATAACTGGTGCTACACATAGCAGTATAAAACCACTAGCTATCGAATTAAAAATGATTTTCACATTCATTAAAAGTCATTTCAAAAAATACTTGCAAGCTATAAAAAATAGAAATCACAATTTTAACGGATACTGGGCTATAGATAACATTAACATCAGCGAAAATCTAACAAATATTAACATGAAAAACATGAAGATTTTCTCTGCTGATTTTACAAATATGTTTACAAGTCTACCCCACGACATTATAAAATCCAATATAAAAGAACTTTTAGAACTATGTTTCAACAATGCGAATGAAAAATACATTATAATCAGTGGAAACAATAAAATTTATTATAGCAGTGATACGACACATTTGAGTACAAAATCCAGGTCTTATACTTTAGTAGATTTACTATATTTAGTAGACTATATTCTAGATAATAGTTTCTGTCGCTTTAGCATTTATACATTGAAACAAAAAGTTGGAGTTCCTCAAGGTGGTAACTTCAGCCCACTATTAGCAGACCTTACACTTTCTTGGTACGAATATAGGTATTCTATTAAAAATATCACAAACAATTTCCAAATAATACCTTATAGATATATGGATGATCTTTTACTTATTCATAACTTAGAAGAAAATACTATCCACAAGTTAGTCAAAAAAATTTACGAACATAAACTTCAAATAGAAGCTACACACTTAAATTCCTATAGCTGTAACTATCTCGACCTAAATATTGAAATAATAAACAATAAATTGATCACAAAATTATATAATAAAACTGACTATTTTAATTTTAACGTTAAAAGATTCATACATTCTACATCTAGTATCTCGTTCAACATTAAGAAGGCAACCATATATACAGAAACTCTCAGAATAGCAAGAACATGTACATACTTAAACGATTTTCAGCAAAAAATCTCACAACTCAGAGATATACTACTTAAAAATGAATATGACATAAGTATAATATCATCATCAATCTTCAAATGCTTAAATAGAAATCCATTCATACTATATAAATACAATATATTCAATGATGAATTTAAGAAACTGAGTCAAAAAATATATTATAAAATACACATAAATTATTGAACCGATATATAATATCAACCAATATATATGAAACGAAATATAAATGATATATGGAACACAAATGATAATACAATGAAAATAAACAAGTCGAGACAAGTCCATTCTTATTTTGCAACACAGAAGATCACACGACAGAAAAGAAGAGTCGGACGACAATCGGATTATAAGTTGAGTTTTACAATTTTTTCAAAATAATTTCTTTGGAAAATGAAACTAGACCCTCTCTCCTTACTGAAGAGTCCCGGAGAGGGTCTAGATCTTAAAACTCCGTCTAAGGAAAGGGACGAAACGGAGTAACAAATTAAAAAACTATCTTTCTTATCATTCATAATGTTTTCATCTAAACATCTTCCTTCATACAACGATGGCTGCGACGATATCGTAAATTATTCACAAAACTCATTATCTCCAGGCAAACAGCAAACTGCATGATAGACACACTTCTTTACTACTACACCGCTCAGTTAATGCCAGGAATGCAGGGTAAGTTTCAGATTCTCAAGTCTTTGTAAAATCGAGTTTTTTAGTCGGCCCAGACGGTCAAGTCTTATGTAGTGGAAGTGGATGGTTCGTCAGGATAAACAATAACGATATACCAATAATCGGAGCGTCATGTGCATCTGATGCGGGAAATCCTCCATGAGATATCTAGAATTGTAGATTACCAGATGTTTTTTGCCTGATAAGCGGCTCACATTATTGATAAAATGTCAATGTTTTCCATTGTCATAGATGAAGTTGCTTTATTGTACCGAGTAAATTGGATATTGACGTCCGACGTTAAGGGCTTCTTATTGCTTCTAACTTTCAGAGCATACTACGATTCTAAAGCTTTGTTTGACATTATTAACATCCGAAACCATGCCTCCGCTTTTCTTAAAAGTTTATCAAAATTTGACCAACCTACTTTGGATCGAGCTGAATTGATCGATTGCAGTTGTTTGTTTGGCGCGTGCTTTCTTCATCGCATTCTTCTAATAAAAAGTTGAATTTTTTCCTACTTTAGTAGGCTTACCGAAGGGTTTTTACAGCACTTTCTTCTGTTCTCTCAAGATTAGAACTACACTATTAGGCATAGTACGTTTTAGTGAGCTATCAGTGATATAATGCCTGTTGATTTGTTCACATAGTGTTCTAAACATACGCGATCATGGTGATACCAATTTATCATTTGTTATTGCTTATTGTCTCTGCCTCAAATACAAATAAAGTTAGAAACTCCTTCATTGTGAGATTGATTCTTACTAGGAATTACCATCTGTTTTCTTTCTGTTTCCGTGATTTACGTAATCGTTCGCTCCTACAATTCCTAGCACATTCTATCTTGCAGTATTTTGGGTTCTGTGTATGGAAGGAATTATGGAGCGATATACATACATAAAACCTCGTAAATTCAATTTCTATGAGATTTTAGACGTTCATCTAATAATTTAACCAATCGATAAAATTGATGTTATATCAGTTCTGTGGCAATGTTATCCAGTATTGTGATCTTTGCAGCTCTTCGTGTGCCAGGCCAAGCTCGCCGCACTCGCCATATGTATACTAGCTCGCCATATAAAATCTTGGTTTTCGCAGCTAGCCTTAAGAAAAAGCGATCCCATACGAGCTGCGCGTTATTGTATAGCACTATAATAATTCATAGAGGATACCCATCGATTTGCAGCTATTAGGTTGTTACATAAGTCTTGTTACACTCTGGCTACTTACAGCAGGCCTACACTTCACATGGTCAATAGGGCTTCAGGGTACCATTCGATGGAGCAAAGCATGCTCCACAAGATATCATGTGCATCGCACTAGCTTCGATATATCGCCAGTTTGAAGCCGACTCTGAGTCTACTCTATGCTAACGGAAAAAATTATATCTTTGTTCAAAAACATCTCACGGTTCTCTTATTTGACCACGAAAACAACACTTCACATCAGACCATATATACCGTTGCTTTATTTTTCTCTCAGCTTGAAATCGAAACCAAATTTTGTACATAAAAAAGCGAAGTATGCTGCTTTAACGCAAGTAATTGTTTGCTACAGGCCTACAGAAGTGTAACCGTACATTTCCAGCTTCACATTAGCGCTAAATTTCGGGATATATCAGATTTAGCTCCCCTCACCTCGGGTGATCCATGCTAAAATCAACATTTCTCAAAAACTACGGTTTTGTGGAAGGCTAAAAATTTACGGTTATACTTCGGAAGGCCTGTGTTAATTTATCTGCGTTAAAACAGCATAGCTTCGTTTTTATATAGGCACAAAAGTTTTGGTTTTCTCGATTTCTAGCAGATAGTGAATAAAGAATAAAGCAACGGTATATACGACTGGTGTAAAGTATTATTTTTGTGGGCAAAAGTGATATCCGTAGGATATTCTTGATCAAAGATATAAAAATCGTTTCGATTTTTTGAGCATTAAGTACGACTCAGATCTCGACTTCAAACTTGCGGCGGATCGAAGCTATTGCGAAACTACACATGCTTGTGGAGCTTGCCTTGCTCTATCGTGGTACCCTGAAGCCCTACTGAGAATATGAAGTGCATGATTATCGCCGTAAGTAGTCCAAGACTTATGAAACAGCTTAATACTATCTATTAGATAGAAAGAACGACTCTCAAAGAACCTCGGCTGGTAGTATTATATTTTGTGTCGATTGTGAGCTGTGACCGAGATTATTAGATTACTTTACTGGCTAACTTCCGGCAAATCCCTTCTTCAGAGACTGAAAAGGGTGTCACGATCTGAAATCTATTCGACAATGTCTCTGCAGCAAAGTGAGCAGTGTCAGGGCTTTGGCTCAATCACTAGCTCAGCTGGCCAATAACCAAACATTCACCTTATGGATTAGCTAAATTTGATGCAAGCGTGAGATGAATCCGCATGTGGAGACCCCTATTTAGAGCAGAATATTAGCTCAGAAGAGCCATCTAGGTAGGGCGCAGGTTCACGTGTGATCGCTAGGCATTCTTCTTTGCGAATCATTTTCGCACGAATCCAGAAAGCTTCCGAATCTACAACCTATACAGCTTTGGCTTGATGAGTTTAATTCAAACCGAGAACTTATAGGTTATGGGTTTTGTGCGCCAGATTTTTCACCGAATCTCCGAAATTTGTTCATGCATGTTTCTGAACACGGTGAGTGACTAGGGAAGTGGATGTGCGCGATTTGTCCTTGCTTGCATTCAGGTGTTCCTTAAAGCACCGTCCACCCAAAGTGGAGGTTCACGAAATTCGATGGCATACTGTGGGCCCCCACACTAGGCCAACCCCCAAGTTTCCCCGCAAAGTTTGCTTCCGGAGCGAGAAATCCGCTCCGGAAGGTACGTAATCCAGAGCCGGTCACTCCGCCCATTTGGCGGGCTGCGAAGCTGATATATCCGGACTAAAACAGCGCCGCAGCCCTGCGACCTGCACTTCACCCGTCCCGCTTGTTCTCCAAAATAGGGTTTTCAAGGTTTTTGGAGATTCTAGACTTCATATTCCGAATCAGGGCCTATAGAATACCCGGAAGCGACAGAAACATGGAAGTAGAGAATTTGGGTAGACGGTGCCTCTAAGCGAGCCGCCCATTCGCCTCGTTCGCCTCGGAAAACTAAACTTGTGCCGTACGATGCCCTCAAACAATACGTAGCACGTATAGGTTCCTTTGGTGGCAAATGCTTTGGTGTGCTTAGGCCGGTCGAATTTTGGAAAAAACAAGTCCGTCCTGTACTCGTGAAATTGGGGTAGTAGCCAAGTTCAAAAACAACGACGATCTACGGAGTCTTGTTGATAAAAATGTTTTGAGTGGAGGGAGCAATGCAGAAGATTTGTTCCCTGTCATGACTTGTTGGTTTCCGTCAGCTACGAGCACCAATACTGCCTACTACATAAACAACTAGTGCCCCAGTAACTACCACTTCAGCTGGAAATGCACTGGCATTACTGACCAGGACGCCGTCAAGCAGTGCTGGTGCCACGAATGCTCAGTCATCCCCTCCAAGTGTAAGCCATCAGAATGGAAATGGCGGTCTAGGGGACAGTGAGTTAGCAAGGGTTCAGAAGATATTTTGATTGCAGTCACATAATTATCGTACGATGTATAAATCGGTGAAGAGGTGGTGATAAGGCTAAAGCGAAGTTATATTGTCCGTAAGGCAAAACATAATTTTTCAATATGCACCTTCTAAAGCACCTCTGAGTTTATTTCGCTGGGCAACTGCATTAGGATTTTATCATCTGTAAGGCTGGAGCTGCATTGGTATCTTATATATGAAGTTGAATGTCTGTTTCTCTGTCTGTCTGTCTGTCTGTCTGTCTGTCTGTACCAGGGCTCGGCACGAGGTGGCTAGTTGAAAATGCAAAAAACGAAGTCCCTCTTGACTTTTGCAAATTTTTACGAAGTCCCCTTTGACCCTAGACCAGGGCTCGGCACGAGGTGGCGTCTCGAAATTGCAAAAAATGAAGTCCCCTTTGACTTCAATAAAATTACGACATCCGCCACGAGATATTCGAAGAGAAAATACATGAAAAGGAACGGAACAAAGCAACAGCAGAAAAAAAACGAAAAAGAATTATCGAACACACGCGATGATATTCATATTCTCCGGAATGGCGGCATGATGTATCCATCGTGCAGCAATACGGCCTAGAGCAGCCTTTCCGCGCATTCAAAATTTTCAGGGGGCTATAACTAAGCGGGGAGAAGGGGGTTTGAGGCGGTGTAGGTGAAAAGTATGTAAAGAAAGTAGAAAAATTATGTGAGAGAGGAAAAATTTATGACTTTTTCTTTCCTAAGCCACCTCAGGTGGCTATCCAGGTGGCTTGAAAGCCACCTAACTCCGAAAAAAGTTGAGCACACCTTTAGTTCACATAATTTTTTCATAATTTTTCATACTTAGTCCTAACTCCCCATTGCCCATCTACACACCTATTTCGGTGTCATTTCATCTTCACTTCGCTGTAAACAAACCTTTTGTTTATTTGCTAGCGGCATGCCGGCAGCGTGCCGGCCGCAGACCGAAAGACAACGTTGTGCTCTACCGCAAAAACGATATCCACTTTGCTTTTTCCCCAAAAACGATATCCAGCTTGCTTGCCAAGCCACCTGTGCCGTGCCCTGGTCTGTACGTATGTGCGGAATAGAAAATTTTTCTAAACCGATTTGAACCAAACTTGGCACACATAGACTTAGGGGCAGGGAGCGTGTCATAGGCTACTTTTCGTTATCGATCGATATCGATTTTTCGATTTTATCGATTTTTTTTGCAGAGTTCGCCTAGTGGCTGGGAGTTGGCACAGGGGGGTAAGTGAGCATGGCGATTCCGAATACAATATTAGTTCTCAGAATTATCGATTACTTTTATCTTCTATCGATTTTTTGCAAAGTTTGAGCTACAGGGCTCGGGTTGGCACAGGAGGGGGGGGGGGGGTAATCGAGGATGCTAATTACGAATACACCATTAGTTTCTGGAATTATCCATCACTCTAATCGATTTTATTTCTTGCAAAGTTTGAGCTACTGGGCTGGGAGTTGGCACAGGGATTGATCGAGCATGCTGATTACATACTATATTAGCTTTTGGTACTACCTATTACTTTTATTGATTTTTTCAATTTTTTCAAAATTTGAGCTGAAGGACTGGGAGGTGGCACAAGGGGGTAAGTGGGCATGCCTATTTCGAAAACAATAAAGGGAACGGGAAAAGAAGTGTAGAAATGGGCACAGGGAAAGGCTGTACAGGGATAGGGATGGGACCTTTATTACAGTGTTTTGACAGGGCCGAGCGGAGCCGGAAAAGCAAGCTAGCGCTTTTTATATTTAAGCGGGTTGAAGCAAATTTATGGATGAATGCTCCTTCAAACTGTAAATTTCTAATGGTTCGCAATCCATAAGCCTGGGTGTTGCCTTAATTCCGACACAAGTAAGATTTTCTAGAATTTTTTCGAAATTTCGCTGGAATGTGGATGATATTCCCTGAATGTAAGTGTCGGTCCCACAATATCATTCTGCTCACACGCTCACCTTTTAAGAGAAAAAAGAATTTCTGCAGTGCAGTGGCTTCATCGTGATTTGCGATGATTTTCAAAATTTGGCCGGAAAGTGATTATATCTCCCTGAAATATCGTTCTGCTCTTTGTAACGCTGCACATTTCTTCCCACGATATTTCTGCTCCACATCCCACTTGCAAAAAAACCTACACTTACCTGGCGAATGCTGCATGATATGATATAGAAAGTATACTATAATATATGACTCCCTCCACGATCGAACCAACAGCAGTTAGGTAGTTTTGCAACTTTCATACAGGAAACTGCTGTATGAAAAAGAATTAGGGAAAAAAAAGGGGGGGGAAGACAGTCTTGCTCAAGAAACTCGGAAACGACAGCTAAACGCAATACAAAACAGAATACATTATTCAAAAGCTGAGTTTCCTGTAGAGCTGAGAGGGAAAGTACGGCTGCCCCGATTGTAAAACCTGAGGGCAAAGTCAAAACTCTTTTGGCACTTTTGTTAAGGAACTTTTAGAAAACTTCGCACAAAGCAGGAAAGCTTTTTAATCCTTTGAATTTGATAACCTGCACTGCGGACTCGCTCTGAGGCAAGGTAACCACATCAAAAAGCTAGCGTTGGATAAAGGACCAATAAAACAGATAAGGGTAGACCCGTAGAAGCCAGCAAGTGAAAAAGGAAAAGAAGACAGAAAGAGGTAATTCGCGGTGTTGAAAAAGCAACATACCCGCACCTTTCTTCTATCTTTCTAAAGCTCCTGCTTGTCGGTCAAAGTAAGCTGCAACCAGCTGATTTTCCGGAGAAGCCTAAATAAGCAGAAATATAAATAAATAAAAAATAGAAGAAATGTACCACTTTCAGCGGAGGACTTTTCTTCTGCGACTCAGGTTTATCAACGCAATTCTGTAGTTCGTTTTCGCAAATATACTGCAAATGAAGTTCATAAAAAAGCTTTCACCAAAAACAAAACCAATATATTCACCTCCTTCAACTGTTCCAGAAGAACAGATTTGTTCCAAGCTTTGGCGAACCACGTTTGTCCAGCTCATCTTTCAAATCTACGACTCTCAGAGTCGAGAGCGGAACGCATTTACCAAAGGGTCATCAACAGACATTTGCTTTGTACGCGCAGCTTTGAAGATTATTTGCGTGTGGAATCATGTATTTGTGGAAGCACAGTAACAATGTAACAACTTACAAAAGTGTAACTTGTAGATTATGAAAAGAGATGTTTCGCTAGAATATGCAAACGTGATCATTTGCTACGAAGCTAAAAAGTCAGCAACCAGCCAATATGACAAGAGTCATCCCTGGACAGTACAATATAACAATTCAAAGAGTTTTCAAATCAAAAGGAAGAGAAAAAGCAGCAAATGCTGGGAAGATTTGACCTATATGTGCATTATTTCGAAATCTCCTCGCCCGTCGCGACAAAATCGCACCAAAACCGGGATGAAACTTTTATGAACTATTTGCAGTATATTTGCGAAAACAAACTACAGAATTGCGTTGATAAACCTGAGTCGCAGAAGAAAAGTCCTCCGCTAAAGTGGTACATTTCTTCTATTTTTTATTTATTTAAACCTATTTCTGCTTATTTAGGCTTCTCCGGAAAATCCGCTGGTTGCAGCTTACATTGTCCGACAAGCCGAAGCTTTAGAAAGACAAAGGAATGATGCGGGTGTGTCTCAAAACATGCTTTTGCTCCCAGTTTTGAATCATGCCTCTGCTCCCAGTTTTAAATTATGCTCGTGCTCCATCAGCAATGTTTTCAATGATCTCCCTGCAACAAATGTAGATTCATCCTTTTGCTGGTGACTTTTGGCTACATTTAGTTGAATTTTTGAGCGATACATTTGAGATTCCATCGTCAAGACTTAATTTCACTAGACGTTGCACCGACTTCATTTCAGTGTAATGAATGAAAAAAAAGAGAAAATAATCTTTCGCTTTAATCACTTATGACCGCTGTCAGTTAAATTTCAAAGCCTAAGTGGAGTTTCCGTTCTTTGTTCAAGTTCACGCATAGATTGACCGCACTTTCATTTCAAATCATCATAAGCTCGCTTCTTTAACCTAGTGCAATCGGTTCTGGTATTTACCAAGTTGTCTCTTGGCCCATATAAGGTGATTGGTAATGTCACGGCAGCTCAAAAACCTTTTATTCGCTAGATGGTTTAGTCTAGTCAGTCTGACTACAGGTAACTCATTCCGACTACATATTATTTGATGGTTAAAGTACTGTTCTTCAAGATCGGTTTCCTCGTAGAGCAAACTTTTTCATCTCTTCTTACTGAGGCGTTCTTTGTTCCTCAGTAGTCTGAACATAATATCGGCAGTTGATACGTGTGGCGGACACACTGTTGGTTTGCATTTTTGTGCTTTAGGAGCTCTGGCGGAAATCGCTCACATATGCCATATACCACCTGTGCAGGGTTTGGAAGAAAGAAGTATACTGCTTTTTGAGAGTTTTGTGCAATTATGAGGCTAATATGAGGACGATTAAGTGCTGAGAGTGATTGTCTTCCCGGTTACCAGTTCGAATTCTTATAAAGTGGGTCATATTGGAAGTACTTAAGCAACCTCTTTTGATCTGGATCCAAGTTGTTCAGCATCATCATGAAAAAGTCTCTTTGATGGTTAGCTTCAATGCTAGCAATTTTGGAATTTTCGAAGAGTAATTATTTGATGTAGAATGAGCATTGGAAAGTGTAATTTCCTCAATTGTAGAAACCATGGATTTTTGTATGTCTAGCGAAATTAGAAAATGATCAGACTCGCATAGCGAGGGCTGTTAGCATGATTTTGTTTTTATCGCATAATAAATCATGGGAAAAGGTTAAGGGAATGATTAGCACCTAAGCACTGTAGCATGATAGTTGGAGCAGTCTGTAATCTATTCATATGTTGCATTCGGTCTTGGAGATTGGCAGTCCTTCATCACTCTAAATCTGCATTCAAGAAAGGGTTAATTCTGCTTCTATCTTCTACTTTTAAGTTGTTATCATTGTTGCTCTGTTTGGGTTATCTGAAATGTTTATATTGCTGATTGAGTAGTCTTCCAAAAACTCTTTTCCAGATGCTTCAGTTTTCTATGCGATGTATTTGGTCAGCGCAGTCTTGAAGATGTGCTGTTGTCCTACCTGTGACCATGTACTGGTCCACGCTTGCTGGTGGTGGTTGGACTTAGCCGAAAATGACGACGCTCGCGAAAAATTAATCCACGTCCTCTCAGAGAAAAGAGACATGGAGCGGTAGTGCGAGGATAGCAATGGGAGAGCTTTGTGAATTTTCTCATCGGTACTTCTGAACTATAATTTTGCAAGGAAGACATTCGGAGGTATCATTTTGATCCTGATAGGTCCATGCTTCTTCCATCAAAGGTGATTCATTTGTTTTATACGATCCTGGTAACAATAATTTTTTATTTTCAGAAAAAGCGCGTCATGGTCGAAGGTAGCAGTGTTACCAAAGAAGACGTAACGATCCAGAAGACTGAAAACGTTGAAGATGAAGTTGAATTAGTCGTAGAAAATTAATGCTGTTGTCATTCTTAATTGTAGTTCTTTCGTAAGCTTGTATCGTGGTTGCGGTGCTTTGATTCCTATACTTGCTGCTGACTGTGCATCCCATTTCGATGTTATTGTAAACGCTACTCGAGAAGATCATGTGGAATTTGCTAATAAATTTTATGACGTCAGACTGGATATCATCAGCAGAAAAGAAACAAGCGTGAGAAACGGGACCCAACGTGACCAAGGACTCAAGGTAAGTCAAAAGAAAGGCGTGAGAGAGGGCTTAGAGGACGCAAAAAGCTGTCAGTAAGGGCGTAGGCTGCGTGCTCTGAACGCGATCGGGACATTTTAGTGTCTCGCGCAGGTGTCCCGGTTTTGCCCCGATTTTGTCGCGCACTTTTGCCGCGACACAAAGTCAGGTGTCTTTTGCCGCGACACCGATTTCGCGAATCGCCCAGGCATTCGTCGACATCTCGTTTTGCCCTGCGCGACTCGACCACGAGTGTCTGAGGAGTTCTATGGGTCCCATGATTTGGACGCGGCGTGCGCGGCAGGGCGGCCGCGGCGCGCGGCGTACCTCCTGGCGTGTAGCCACAGTTCCGTGTCATCAGTAGAGGCTTAGAAATGTGGGTGCAAGTTTGCAGTATTTGTATTTGCTATATATTTGCTATATTATTATATATCTGCTTCTTTGATCTTGTTTTCCCTCCTTTTGTTCGTTGAGTCTGGATCGCTGACACTTTTTGTTTCCCACGAGGAAGTGTGACGTTGTTAGCACCTTTGTTATGACTCCAGATCACAGCATATAATCTTTCCTTTCTAATGGCAATTAACAAAGGTGCCAGCTACAAAATTCATTTATAGCAGCGGATTGTGAGATATCTGGAGGACAGGCAGGGACAGCAGAGGATGCCTCAGGCTTTTTCGTGCATAATCACGCATCGCACGTTCAAATTTATACATTCATGTAAAGTTCCAGCAATGAAATCGGTATAAGCAAGACATTTAAAAGCAATCGAATTTTTTACTTGGTTATTTTATACATGTGTTGTCGACTCAATTGTAAAATTGTGCAGATTTTCTGATTTCATCAATACTGTTTCAGTCCACCGAGGAATCGGTTATCTTGCAGTATTTCGTGAAGCAGTGAACTGGAAATCTCAGAGGAAGGCCCAAATATTTTCTTTTTTTGATGTCATCAATCAACTCTGTCAGACCTAAGAAGAGTACACGACAAGCAAAGGATCTGTTATTCACGAATCGAATCTTCCAGCCAGATTTTTATGAACTCCGGCCATTCTTGATTCCCAGTGTCAAAAGTTGAAAGTTCTGACATATGATTTGTTATCTGCTAGATGCTTCTAAGGACATCACCTACCGGTACTAATTGTTCCCAACTTTGTAAAGGGAAGAACAGCTCGAATAGCCTCATTTGAATCCTTTGGAGTCCCTCTGATGTTTAACAGAGCTAGTTTTTATTTAATAAAGCCTATCTCGCAGCTTACCAACCTCGAAAGTTTGGAACCTCGAGGCGTAGGTCATGTCAAGTCATTAGAACTCTGTAAAGAGAGTGGTTAGCAAAAGCGAAAAGCTGCTGCTTCCTCTTCTCCTACTGCCGGGATATCTGCTGTAGCTAGTGTTGCAGGATGACAAGATGATGGCAAAAAAGGCGTATGGCCGATGTATAGGAAAAAAGGTATGCCATTTTCTTCCCATGAAAAATTTACTGTGGTCAAAGCGAAGTTTGTCTTCTATGCTTTTCTTGTCATCCACTATTTCTTGAATTTTTAAGGCACCCACATCCCCTTAGCATTCTAAATCAACGATATTATTGCGGGACTCGCTTGAAAAAGGCAATTCCAAAACTTTAGTCATTGCCACTTTGAACCCAGCCGTAACACAAGATGCGGAAACCAAACGTAGCTTGGACTTTGCTCAGCAGGTAAGAGTTTAGTTCCATGCCAGTGTAATTGATTTTTGATTGGCATGCGATCTAGATGAGCGTCACAAGGTTACCTAGATGCGCCAGAAAGCAAGAACAGTGATCTTCATTCTTATTCTCTTTCTTAACTGGATGTAACAAATTTTTCTGGTTTGCACGCTCGATCGCTAGGTAGACATATGCTCTTAATCATCTCAATTTTTGATCCTTCTTAACAAATTTAACGATCTCTCAAAAACGATCAAACTTGTGAATAATCTATGTGATATCCAACTACTGGCTAAATAGTTGATGTACTGAGAATTGGTGCTTAAATGCTCTTTGTAACATACGTTTATTTTAAAAGGTTTTATTTGCTTGCTGTTTGCATACAAAAGAGAGCAGCGTCGGATAAGCTTAGATTTTTCGGTTATATTGAGATTTAAATAAGTCATAGGTTGAAGGAAAGATATATAGCAACTGTACCAATGCTGGATTGGTTCCGATGGCGCCATCTGCCTATTCTTACCGGGCGCCATCTAAATCTACTTAACCGGCTGCGCGGGCGATCGCGGGCGTGTCATCGCGGCGTGGCGGGACCTAGGGCTCGCTTGCTGCCAGTACTGATGTTTCGTTAGCTTTCGCGATGGATTTTTGCAGGTGTTTCCGCTAACTTTGAGACAGCGCGTATGGATGTGTTTGTCTGCTAGTGATGAAAATGTTGCAAGTTTTAGGAAGGTATATCCACATTCCTCATATCGGTATCCGAGTTGAAGTGCTGATTCAAAAGCACTAATGCTAATGATTTTGCGAGGGACAAGCCCTAACATGTCAGAAGTTTTTACGCAATTGTGGATAAATATGTGACCGACTGTTTCTGCCTGGTAACAGATAGTATTTCTTAAAGTTTTCCAAGGTAAGAACTAGCAATTTTCTTCTGAAATGTTCTTTTTCCATTCAGCAAGACAAGCTTCGTTTAGGAAGGTAATCTTGACTATTTAGATTGCTACGTTTCCTATATAGGGAATATGTCTCCTCAAATCAGTCACGTGGGCTAGAGATAGAACATTTACTGAATAGTAAAATGAAGGTGTTGCTGTGCAGAGCAATACGTGGAATAACTTTGCAATTCTTTTTACAGAATCCTTGTTGAATAAAAATCATTCATCCTGAGATTAGAAGACTCATAAATCCAGACACTGTCTCATGTAGTTATTTGCTTTTCCTAAGGGAACGGCCATAGGTTGCCGGCAACGGTTGTCGGTGTTGTCGAAGTTGTTGATGTTGTCGGTGTTGTCGATAATGTCGGCGTTGTCGGGGTTGTCGGGGTTAGAGACAGCTTAGAGAGCGCGCGAAACGTGGAGGCTATCATGAGGTCCTACAACGACCGGCAACCTCGGCAACCCCGACAACACCGACAACATGAAATCCAAGACGTGACAGTACGGTAAGAAGACAAAATGTGGAATTGATTCACAGATCTGATTTCCATGTAAGATCCCTATGGAGAGTAACGCAATAACCCTATGAATGCTAGAGGGTATTAGGTAATTTGATTGTAGATGAATTGACTGAATTCACTCCATTTTCTACCGACTTTCATAATGCGGAAAAAAATTTTCCTGACCAAACTTGAAATACAAAAGGGGTGATATCATACAAAGAGATATATGTACAACGCATATGGTCCGAAACTGTCGGGAAAGATTCCCAGTAGCGATACACTAGTCAAACACACAAAGAATACAAATATAAATACACTGGACAACAATCACGAGGGTGCTGATTGCGTTTGGGAAGATGTATCATTTCTGAAAGGAGATAGTAACTTGTCCTGAGTAATTTCCTACAGTCCGTGTCAATCACGTGCTCCCTTTTTCCCAAATGCACTGAGCTTCGCGCCACGTTCGCGCGCGTATTGTTCGGGCATTCAAGTGGGCCTTATCGATTGGAGGTCCGCATGCAGGACCCTAGCGTTGCGCATGCGTAGTTTCCATGCGAAAAGGAGTACGCAATTGACATCGATTGTATGTCTAGCTGCTTTGAGCACTTGTACCTATAGTTACAAATGGCTGCAAAGAGCGCGCCCCATGACCCGTTGCAAATTTGACCGGCGCGCAGGATTTTGATGTCGGAGCGTGCAATTCAGGCACAGATGTCTACTATTTGAGCTATATAGGCTAACCAGTGAAGATCTTGTTCGATGACAGCTTATCAGTGTCACGAGCTGGGAGGATGTCGTTGAGTCAGTGGCAATAAGTTAGCGATGAAAGACTAGAGATTGTACATGATTGATCTTTTTCTGTGAACTTTTTGCATAAACTTTCTTGTACGACCTTTTCCTAATAGCAAGCTCTTGTGTAGTATGACTCCGTTTCTTGATGCTATGGGTTGAAGAGCCTAGAGCCTTGTATAAATCCGTAGTTTTCGCTTTTGCTTTGGTTTCTGAGGACAAATCTGGTTACCTTGTTGCGTTCAGATGAACAAGTTCAGTATCCATGTCTCGTTTCCTATGCTAAATGAACAGTATCTGCATGCTTTGAGGTAATCATAACAACATGAAAGGTGGACTCTTGTTCAACAACTCAGGCTTCTTTCCATATTTCACATTTTGAAGATCAAAAAGTCAGGGTCTACACCATCAAAACTTGTGAAAAAAGTCCTTCAGTTCATTTACTGCATGCACAAAATTTTTGGTTATCATGGAAAGCAGTTTTATCCTCAGCGCAGTGCCTATCTAAGGAATGCGCTCAGATGAGGAGTGGGAGGCAAAGAAGCGAGAGGTATGAGAAGCACATATGTCTCACAGGCCGTACTTATGCTTTTTTACACTTATCGACCCATCTGTGAGATATGAACGAAGACTAGCGGTAGCGAAAAATGAGTGAAAGTAGCAAAATTGGAAATAGCGTGATAACGCCCTACCTGAGCCGGAGGTATCTATCTAAGCCTATCTAAACTGCCAAAATTGACGTACACAGTGATTTTCACGAACAGTTGAGCTACGAATCCATCTAAACTTACGCTGCTTACCAGCAAGCCACTCCCCATTCTGGGAATAGAAAACTCAAAAACGCTCTGTACCTACAAGTTGTCTAGACGTGCTCGAATTGATTTTATCCAAATGGTCTATCATTAAAAATGAGATCTGTTAAAAATGCTTTTTCAAATTGAAGCGTTTTGAGTCTCCTAGTCTCAAAATGAATGATACTTACTCTTGGCACTAGAATCCGCAGCTTTTCTCTTCTTATGGCTGTCGTATAAGGAACATGTTCAGTAGGAAGCCCCTCTCTGTTTAGGCACAAACGAATCGTTACTTTTTTAACCGTGCTTAAGGCACTATTTCAATAAAGAATGATTAGATGGCAAGAGATGAAAGGTACTCATCACACGTTAATAACTGCACTTCTTTTTGTGATTCTCCTGCAGAAAGGAGTCGTTTTTCGGGTAGCGTCACTTGCTTCCCGCTAAAAGTTATAGGGTGTATGCGATTAATCGCCAGGGTTCAGAACACAGATTTGCACTGGGACACGGGGCGCGCTCTTCGCAGCCATTTGTAACTATAGGTACGAGTGCTTTGAGCAGCTTTTTCACCCATTTTCGGTTGAAGAAAATACTCATTCCAACACTAGTAGAGCTATTGAGCGCCTCGACAACTGTACTGAAGTGAAAAACATTCATACATAGAGATAGCTCTTCAAAAGTCAGTGCTGGCAGTAAGCGAGCCCTAGGTCCTGCCACGCCGCGATGGCACGCTCGCGACCGCCCGCGCAGCCGGTTATTTTTAGATGGCGCCCTGGAAATATTCAGTGGGTCATTCGGTGCTCCCTGCTAAGACTGTGGCTAGTAAGACAGCCGTGCAACCTCCATCTGTGCCTGCTCCAGCGCCAGGTTCCGGGGAGTCTAAGAGCGGTCTTGCTAATTGGTAGCGCAAAATCGAATGCAATGTAAGCTGTATGCTTGCTATAATCAGCTTCGCTTCTTTGTGCTCTAAAGATGTTGATTGCGCCGGAAAGAAGAACTGCACACCTGCTTTTGTCTTTTGTTCTGGAGGCGTGGCAATCTCAGTGGTAAAATAGAGGCTTCTTGCGCTTCTCCAACTCATTTTTGTTTTTCAGACTTGTCCGCTTACATCAATTCACAACCCACAAAAAGGAAGATGTGATTATAATGAGAACCGTTTAGTAAAAGTGGAGGCCAGGGCTCGGCACGAGCTGGCACCAGGGAATTCAAAAGTCCCGTTTGATATCGAAAATTTCGTACAAAGTCCCTTTTGACCTGTTTTGAAAACCCGTCATCATTTTTATATTATGTAAAGAAATGTAGTAGTGTTTTCATGCATTTCTGATTTCATGAAAGATTTTCACAGCTTTCCGAGCTTTTTAAGTGGTCGAATCACGTCTCGAGAAGCAGAAAAAGCCGATTTTTCGACGGCGGAGCGGGCCGAGTGGTTTTCAAATTGCTATAAAACGCTGAAAAGAGAACATTATGAAACTGTTTCTTCTCCGTATGTAATCTTTTACAGTGTAGATACATTTTATGTAAAAAAGTATGAAAACTTATGTGAGCAAAGTGTCGGTGCCAGCTCAGCTGGCACCCAGCTGGCACGGTGCCAGCTAATTCAGAAAAAAGTTGGGCACAGCTTTCTTTCACATAAGTTTTCATAAATTTTTGGGCCGTAGTTCCGGTCCACCAACGCGTATGCACACACCAAATTTGGTATCATACTATTGCGTTTTGGCTGAAAACAACGCCTTTGTTTGTTGATGGACAGCCTGCCAATGGCATGCCGGTGGCATGCCGGCGGCATTTTGCGGAGTTCTCCGCCTCGGCCCCTAGAAACGATATCCCCTTTGCTTTCCGCGCTAAAAACGATATCCAGCTTGACCCGGTGCCAGCTGTGCTGAGCCCTGGTGGAGGCACAACCATCGCCAGAAGCTGTCTCTTCTACCGTGGGGAATCGTCACTGACAGCACCAGTTTCTGATGCATCTCCTCCCGCGTCTCTGCAAAAGTTTGTTGAACTATATGTTCTATAATTTACTTCATTCGGAAGATACCACTGAGTTCATGATGTTTCCTCTCGCTACGATAAAAAAAATGTTTTAGGAGAAGATTTACAGAAGTGTCCATCCTTGTTGATATTCAATGCAAAGAAGGGGCAGCATTGCGATCGTAGAAAACTGCTCAGTGGAGGTTCCAGCGCCAGCTAAAGATACTTTAACATCTTCTTCACCTCCTCCGGCTCCTTCTCCAGCTCCACCTCTGGTCTTCGTATGCTGTCTTCTACAACTTTGGAATGTAGTGTAAGTTCATGCCCCTTCAGGCAGGTGAACGCGCAGGGAAGGACGGTTACTGCTCAGACAGTTGCACTTCGGAATTTGTATTATGCAGCAAAAGGACAGCAACAACTACGGTTTAGTAAACACTGCCAAATTGTAGGAAACAAAAATTCTTTTCAGAATTGCCCACCTATATTGTTCGATGGAAAGAAGCGTCAGTGTGATTACGTAGTAAACTGCCACATAAAGTACGGCCTATCTTAGCACCAGCCCCTGTGCTACCAAGTCCACCATCAGCTGCCCCAGTGGTGAAAGTAAGGCTTGAGATATACCTGACGACAGAGGTATAGCGGGTGTTGGCGAATCGCTGATGTCTGCGCTGCCTCCAGCTGCTCGTGGCTGCTGCGCTGGGTACGCTTTGGGTGCAAGAGCAAAGTAGCTTTATTCATTAATACGCTTCGCTTAGGCCATTAGGAAGGTAAATTTTTAAAACTACCAAAATTTGAAAAGATGATTTTATGAGATCCAAAAAAGTCACCCTGTTTTCATCAAAAAATTTCTTTATAACAGGCATAAGATGGCAAACTAAATGTTGCATATACTGAGAAAAATTATAATCACTTGACAAATATCCAAGCGAGTGTCGCAGTAGAACCTTGATGTGTCTTGAGGCAACAAGTGATCTAGGTCATGACCAGGGTTGAGCGTGGGGTCAGGCGCGCCCGACATGGGGGTCGTATTGAGGGTAAGACTGAGGGAGGGGGTCGTTATTAAGAAACGAATTTGTTCGGTTGGGGAGACACTACGAAGGTGCAGAAGAAATGCGCTAGTCCGGTGAATATCGCAATTATCTAAAGGAATGACGGTCGTTGACGGCATAGTGATTGTTTTCACAGTCGAAGTTAGCCAAAATTCAATCTTCATATTTTACTTTGACAGATCATGAGGTCGACAAGGAAGCTTGCTGCGTGAATTGCTGAATCCTTTCCGTAACCAGCATGTCAAATTACCTCTATGCGCTCTACAAACCATTGCCTCTGCATTTTCTAGTATTTTCAACGTCTAAAAAACGTGGTTTTCAAACATGATTAACTTGGTTTCAAAAGTGGAAAATGTAAGCTTTTCTATACTCACAACAAAGTAATGTTCACTACAAATATATGCTACAAATCAGGCTTCATGTCGCTTTCAAACAGTGAAGTAAGAAGTGCTGCCAAAATTCCAACCGGCACGTTTTTCACACTGAGTGCTTCGACTCCTCGGATTAGCACAAGGCCGAAACAAGTCGACTCAAGCTCAAACACTTGCTGTTGAATCTTCGAGGGTTGAGCTACCGAATTACATAAAACTTGGGTAGAAAAGCTTCTTTGAAAATAAAGTTAATGGGGTCAGGCGCAACCCCTTAAAAGGTCAGGCCGCCTGAGCTTTTGAGGGGTTGCGCCTGACCCGATTAACTTATCTTCAAAAAACTCAAAACATTCCACTTTTCCACTCAAACTGTTGATTCATCCTTCCTCTCCCCACAGCCAAAATTTTATCCAATTTCATCACCCCTCGAAAAAGTTATCAGTGGTTAATCCTACCTATGTGCCCGAAGACGATCGTCGTTTTTTGCCCGTTAATTTCGTCTACTGTAATACGCATCCCGTGCAATGTTTCTGCACGGGATTGAACGCGCCAAAATTCGTTTTTCGACCTCGTTAAGTCTTTCTCTTAGCGTGAATTGTGATGGGAAAAAAGACGGTTACTATTATAATAGCTGCTCGGCAGAGGTCATGTTTTGCAGCAAAGGGATTGCGACTGTTAGGCCTCAAGCAGAGTTCACGCGATTTCATCGGCGCCATTCTTCCAACAAAACGAACAGTTACATACGAGTCTATTGCATGCCGATCATCTTTCCTTTCGGTTGTGATAGTTCTTCAAAACGATCAATCTTATATATAAAGCTGAATGTCTGTCTGTATGTATGTCTGTATGTCTGTCTGTACGTATGTGCGGAATAGAAATTTTTATTTCTGAACCGATTTGGACCAAACTTGGCACACATATACTTCGGGGCAGGGAGCGTGTCATAGGCTACTTTTCGTTATCGATCGATATCGATTTTATCGATTTTTTGCAAAATTTGAGCTACGGGGCTGGGAGTTGGCACAGGGGGGGTAATCGAGCATGCTGATTACGAATATAATAATGACAGGGCCGGGCGGAGCCGGGTTTGCCAGCTAGTCGTGAATAACTATCACAACCGAAATGCAACATGATCGGATTGCAATGGATTCGTAACTGTGTGTCTTGTTGGAAGAAATGCGGCGATGAAATCGCGTGAACTCTGTCTGAGGCCTTATTGTAAAATTGTACTTCGAATGGCGATGTATGCGATGAGCGACTTTTGTCTCTGTTAAATATTTGCAGAAATGAAACACACTTTTGTTCAATGAACGAAAAGGTTCTGGCGATTGTGTAGATACCGTTCGAAAGAAGGACATAACCATCAATAACGATCACCTTACCTACAGTCCAGCAACATAGCTTGAAAGCTGAGAAGTGAGAAGCATAGCCAGGGTTAAGCGTGGGGTGTGGCGCGCCGCACCTGGGGGGGGGGGTGCGAAGGGGTCAGAGGAGGAAGGGTGGGTCGTAAACAAGGTGAAGGAAAAGGATCCAACCAAAAAGGGCTATAAATGTATGAGCAAGAGAGCGGCATGCCTATGCTGAATCGAATAAAGCTAGCAAACAGATGCACGCAACAGCCGAAACATCCTATTATGCGAGACGTTTTTTGAGATACTGATTTGTCAACGTGCACTCATGGTAAGTGTAGAAAAAGGCGGTAAAAAGCAAATAGAGTATTACTTTCGTTAACAGCATGTCAAAACTCACATGCACTATTTTTTACCAAATTCTGATCCCCAAATATTGACCATACAAGTGAAAGGGTCATTTTTTAACATGGTTATCTATTTCTCAAAAGTGAGCTAGCTCTCTCTCTTCTTGTGCATATAATACTCTGCTCCTTATTTGCTCATATTAGGAATTCCATCTCAAATAATCGCCAAATTATGGATTAAGGAGCCAGCCAAAACCCATCTTTCACTTTCAGTAGTTTTGATTGCAGCAACTTTACGCAGAGTAAAGAAAACACCGTGCTTAAAACAATCCTGTAAATACTTCTAGGCCTAGGCTATCGAATAATGTAAATATAGTTCGCTAAAAGTTCCTCTGGAAGTAAGTTAATGGGGTTTGGCACAACCCCTTAAAAGATGTGGCTGCCACAGCTTTTTGGGGGTTGTGCCACACCCTATCAAATTACCTTCAAAGACCTCAAACATCAATGACTTTTATATCGTTGAAACCGCTAATCCTCCTTCTCTTGCCATTGAGAATTTCATCCAAAAGCGTCCTCCTTAAAAGAAGATATAGCGCTTTTTCCTTATCCACCCTCATCTTAGAAATCGGGAAATCGCCTCAAAAATAATGGCCTACGGTAGCGCGCTGAATATGAGCTACACCTACTGCAAGGAAAAAGCGCGAAATTGACCGATTTGAAACATTCGTTGAATTTCCCAGTTATACCTACATCGTATCTCTTTTTCGAGCATGCATCACTTGGTTGATAGTAATTGGTTTGAGGATTTCACTCGCTTCTATGTTACTTCTGTTGCAGATACTCCTTGAAGCAAGTTCTGGCTCATCCGTGGATAAAGATGTTGTAGCAGCATCACTCGGATCATACTTCGAACAGTCACCCCCAGCAAGTGCACTTGTATGTTATCTTGCTATTTTTGATCTTGATTGCTTTTGTGCACCTTACTGAGTTTCATTGACACTCTTTCGGTAGACGTTGTCTTTTCTTTGAGTACTACTTGTCAGTGATTTTCAGCTCTGTTATTTCCTTTATGAATTTCTTATGTTGACGTACTACTTGTTATCTTTGATATATGATTATTTTGTTTCTACTCGCTGTGCACGTTCATCCTGTCCGTTCCTTCATCCTACGGTGAACTCTCTTAGGGACCCGCCTTACTATTCCTGTGTTTCCTGCAATTCCTGCGATTCCTGTGATTCTTGCGGGTCGTGGAACAATGTATATTGCGAAAAAACAATGTATACTGAAGTTTGCAAAGCGCTCCGTAATGCGCGGAAGCCGAGGAATCACAGGAAATGCAGGGATTACAGGAACCGAGGAATCACCTCCTGGAATAGTATGGCCGGTCCCATATGAATGAAGAGCACCCAAGGAGCAAGTTTATAACGCCGGGGAGGAAGGGGGGAGGGTCGTACCGCAGCACTCTCAAGGGGGAGGGCCGTATGTGGCCATCGTATGCCACACCTCTTGCTTGACCCTGATCATAGCCTGCTGATCTGTGGTAGTAAAAATTATATTCACCAGGCGTATGGACTGCACTGGTAAGACAAACGGATACTGTTCTAACGGTTACACAGAATTTTATTTTTGCAGTGGGGACGGTGTTTCAGAGGTAAAATCTCTTATGTGATGGAGTTTGACATATTTGATGGAAAAATTCTTGTAGAAATGCCCTACGCCACTTGTCTTCAACTAAAAGAAGGGGCAGTGTGATCATCAGGAAGTTGTCCAGTACATCGCCGCTAGCAAGTACAGTCACACAAACAAGCTTTCTCGTGGGATGCCGTCGACTGCGCAGGAAAACCTAACGGATTATGCGAATGCTCGCCTTCCTTTGCGTACTGCCTGGATGGAGTCGCGACACCCCGGTGAGAATGGAACTTCGGAAGTTTGTAACAAATTTAAATGTTCAGAGATGCCCATCTTCTCGTGTTTGACCAAAATAAAGGGCAATGTGACTTCCCGGAGTGCTGCTCGACCAAGGTTCCATTGCCTGGAATGGTATCTGCGCCGCATCATTCACCGGTGCCTGTAGTGCAACAATTCGCCCCCGTTCCCGTGGTGCAACAACCCGCTGCTCTGCCTGCGGTGCCCCTGCACCTGTGATGCAACAACTCGTTGCTCAGCATGCGGTTCACCAGTCCACTGTGGTACCAATAGTCCAACAAGCCGCAGTTGTGGCTGGTATATCCACCATGCAATCCTGAGTTAGATAGTGTATCTCAGGGACGTTTTGCTGGCAGTAATGGGGGCATGGGTACCATCTCCATGATCACATCTTTATGACAATTGTAGTCCAGAGCAGTCACATGCAAGCTCTATCAAACATACTTCTTAACCAATTTAAAGGTATGGACCCAACGGCACGGTGGACCTTGACTGGGGTTGTTCGATTTACTGTGTGTGTATTTTAATCCTCTTGTTTTTTTTTGTAAGGAACGCCATAGAGCGTATGAATAAATAAATAAATAAATGAATAAATAGTCCAGCGCTCGGCATCACTGACTGCACCAGCTGTTCATCCTCAGTCAGCTAGGTTCGTTTGGCTGTAAGAACTTTACTAAGCGTACATCATTGTTGAACTCTTACGGTTGCCCAAGTGACGTGTTTGCCTTCATCTGAAACACAAAAAATTCCGTGAGGCATTTTGTATTCAGAAATTTACCATGTTGTGCGCAGTGATCATCTGCGAATTGTTGTCTGGGTTCTCCCATGTCTATTTCGAGCGATTTCGGCGAGAGGCTCAAAAGAACAGATTTTTTGCTCTTAGACTGATGAAAAAACCTTGTGAGTTTGCAACTGGGCGAGTGGAATGTCTAGCATTATTCATATACAGTGTCCTGCTGAAGTCCGGACAGTATGTTCGGCGTATACCTACGTCCAGGCGGGCACCACAATCCTGACAGAATTGCTTCCAATGGCTTTTTATCATTTGGCTAGCAATTCGTGGTTTTGTTTAGCGGCCACGTAGCCTTTTGATCCTCCTTAGTATGACTAAAGTTCCGATCACTAGCTCGCTGGTCGTCGTCAGCCAAACGCTCACCTTTCGAACCCTCAGATCTTGCTGAGAGAGGCGACTGCTGACTCCATAGGATCACTATTTCATTAAAAAAGTGTAAAGAAGTAAAGAAGTTTTTTCAGTCGTCCATCCCCCCTTAAGGTCAATGGTCATATCCTTTGTAATAGCTAAACGAAGTGAATCAACTAAGATAACTTTTTAGATTTTCTAGCTCAAAAAGCAGCGATAGGTGAAATTCTATATCTCAAAGCATTTACTGCCTAGAATGCTCTGACATTTATCAGAGCTTTCTTAGGCGCTAGAAAGAGTTTTACCGCTAGTATCGTCTTCAATGTGAATCCATTTTTCTTAGCCCAATAAACGCTTCTAAACGTCTAGAAATGCTCCGCAGATAAGGAATATAGATCTGAAATCAGCTTTATGCCCTCTAAAATGTTATACCTACGTCGCCTTTTGAAATTCATCCAAACATCCTTTCCTTGTGAGCGGTGACAATGACTCAAATATTAGAAGAAAAAACGGATTTTCTCCTGTCATATTCTGCATAGTACTAGTCGTATATTATCAAGATCCCACTTTCAACAAAAGCAGAATTTTATTGAGCATTTGAAAAAACCTTGCGAAATTGCTCTAAATATATGTCCGTTAATACTGATCGATGCATGTTGCTACCAACTTCAGATTTAAGATGGGGCTGGTGGCACGATCACAAGCTGGAACGGATCGAATGAGGAAGATGTTCCGAAAACGGAGGAAAATGATATTGACGGACGGCTTCTCGGAAAGTATCTGAATCCTGTGGCGAAGCGACTGCGGAGTTAGAGGTGGCATTAGCTTTTCTGTTCTTGTATAGAAGTGTGCTTGTTATTATTTCCATAATTATCTCCTTTTTGTAGTCTTCTGTATACATATTATGAGAAGATCGTGACTGAAATGGGTAATAATGTTCTGCTTCAAATATATCTATTATTTGTTCAAAATTAAAAGTCTTCGAGATGCTTTTGAGGTACTAATTGAGGGGACGTCCTTGTTTATTGTTCAGTTTGACCTGATGATCTCCATTTGAATTGCGAGTTGATTTTGAAAAGCACGGAGTTTGTCCTACTGATATGGGGCTTGAGGCATCCCATAATGGCCGCAATCTCATCGACCTTCACGATCACACAACCCTAGATAACACAGCATAGGTGGAGGATCGACTCGACTCGAGCTCTGAACGCTTGCATTCGTTCAGTCGGTTGATCTAGGCCTTAGGAAAAATCTATTCAGCTTCTGAGTTTCTCCTGAAAGAGATGAGACCTTTGAGAGGGGGAATCAAATGCATTCTTTTAACAGCTACATAAGAGGGAGGCATGACATGAGGCCACTCCAAGATTTCTTTTTTAACAAGTTTGAGGTGGTGCAAAAACTTGCAGACAGCGGCTGCCAAAAGTCCCGAAGCGTATTCAGTATAGCTATGTTTCACTTTTCGCAACGTATGAGACAAGGCATTCTGACAGCTCATCAGTGATAGAAATTTGCAATCTGTTAATTTACCTTTACTTGAATTCCTTAGGTTTTGTGTTTTTTCAAATGTCAATCTTTGCCAGCGATTAACCATTAACAAAGCCTACGCTTGACGGCGCAGTTATCAAGTTTGAATTACAAAATTCATAAATGACCTTTCAGGGAAGTCGTGGAAATAAAAAAAACTTAGGGATTTTTTTTTCATAAAGGCTGGAAAAAACCTGCTATTATAACCTTCAGTGGCCTACGCGGCTTTCGTGCGGAGAGGGGCGGGGGAGGGCGATAAAAAATTTTGAGCGATTGAAATTTTGGGACACGTCAAAAACTTACCAAGATTTTTGCGGACCCGTACTCGAAAATCAAGAAGGGGGCGTGGCGGCAACGCCACCGGAATAAATTTTTACAAGGCTTTTGAAATTTATATCTTCAAAAATTATTTTTTTCAACAAGTGAGATTAAGTCACTTGTACACTTTTATAATTCATGTAAGTAGCTTTCAGACCCTTTTTTTCATATATGATTGCTTGATGAGCATCTAGTCTCACCTTCGATGGCTTGATCCCATAGGTGCGAAGGCCTGAGATGGGTACCCTCCAAAGTGAAGGGGGTCTCAATAGTTTTTGACCCTCAAAAGTGAAGGGGGTCCAAAAATTGCCGACGTCGACCGGGGGGGGGAATTGAAAAAAAATAAATTTTTAATTTTTTAACTTTAATTTTTCCAAATTTTAATTTCAACAATTTTCCAATTTTTTTGCTTTTAACCCCCCTCACTGGGACGAAGCAGGTGCTAAGGTGAGTTAGTTGGATTAAAGTTGAGATATCGGAGCTGAAAAATCCAATTTTAGGCATTCCATGGGACGAGAATATTGAGTCGATATGGGAGGGCGCATGGTCGTGAAACGAATGGCTGGAGTGGTGCCTACACGTGGGCTTGTTGGACGAGACTCTGAAAAAGACATTTTGTGGTTATAATGTGGATATAAATTGAATAATTTACCATCGTATTGTGTGTAGAAGGATAAACAATAAATGGAATTGTTGTACACAATCAAATTTGTATATACTGAGTGAAGGCAGGAAGATAATCAGAATAGGAAAGGTAAGATATCGGAGTTTGATGATCAAAAGAGAAAGCTGCTGGAAATAAGTTCTACAAAGGTAGAGGGAGAAGGTAAGTCAGGTATTAGGTACTCAGGTAAGCTGCCGATGTAAGCTGATAAGGGGAAGCAGGTTTGAGTTGCCAACTATACCCCCCCCCCCTCGAGCCAAAAAATTTCCATATCTCAGTGGGGGGTCATCTCATGATCTAGTTTTTTTTTAATCTTGTAAGGGAGAGTGTGCTTGAGATAACTAGGGCTGTCGCAAAAGAATCTGCTGAAGCAGAACTTCTGAAGCTTGAATTTCACGCACAAATTTATGCGTCTTCAACTCGGTGTTGTTCCTCTCCTTTTTTAAAGCAGATCCTTTTGCGACAGCCCTAGTTATATCAAGTGAACCTCCCTCTACAAGATGGTGAACAAAGCAGATCACGAGGGGACCTCCCCGCTGAGATATGAAGCGTCAAATTGAACCACCTAAAATCGATTTTTTTGCTATAACTCTTATGTAAATAAACAAAAGTAAACAAGGAGCTTTAGTTAGAATCTACTCTTCAAGAGCTTTCGAATGATATATAATATGTGGGGGTTCCTTGTTTTTTTCGCCCTGCGACAGGGGTTGAGACGCTCCAGTTATGCGATCTCAGGTCTATCCCCCCCTCCACATGCATTAAAGTGGGCGGGGTTGAGATCGCATAACTGAATCGTCTCAACCCCTGTCGCAGGGCGAAAAAAACAAGGAACCCCCACATATTACATATCATTCGAAAGCTCTTGAAGAGTAGATTCTAATTCCAGCTCCTTGTTTACTTTTGTTTATTTACATAAGAGTTATAGCAAAAAAATCGATTTTAGGTGGTTCAATTTGACGCTTCATATCTCAGCGGGGAGGTCCCCTCGTGATCTGCTTTGTTCACCATCTTGTAGAGGGAGGTTCACTTGATATAACTAGGGCTGTCGCAAAAGGATCTGCTCTAAAAAAGGAGAGGAACAACACCGAGTTGAAGACGCATAAATTTGTGCGTGAAATTCAAGCTTCAGAAGTTCTGCTTCAGCAGATTCTTTTGCGACAGCCCTAGTTATCTCAAGCACACTCTCCCTTACAAGATAAAAAAAAAACTAGATCATGAGATGACCCCCCACTGAGATATGGAAATTTTTTGGCTCGAGGGGGGGGGTATAGTTGGCAACTCAAACCTGCTTCTCCTTATCAGCTTACATCGGCAGCTTACCTGAGTACCTAATACCTGACTTACCTTCTCCCTCTACCTTTGTAGAGCTTATTTCCAGCAGCTTTCTCTTTTGATCATCAAACTCCGATATCTTACCTTTCCTATTCTAATTATCTTCCTGCCTTCACTCAGTATATACAAATTCGATTGTGTACAACAATTCCATTTATTGTTTATCCTTATACACACAATACGTTGGCAAATTATTCAATTTATATCCACATTATAACCACAAAATGTCTTTTTCAGAGTCTCGTCCAACAAGCCCACGTATAGGCACCACTCCGGCCATTCGTTTCACGACCATGCGCCCTCCCATATCGACTCAATACTGCTCGTCCATGGAATGCCTAAAACAGGAATTTTTCAGCTTCGATATCTCAACTTTAATCTGACTAACTCACCTTAGCACCTGCTTCGTCCCAGTGAAAGGGGTCCGGTCCCGATTTTTGCTCCCTTTCCCGCATTCTCATTCCCTACACTCTGTAAATAAATTCTTTTACCTCAAATTGTACTCCACTTCAAGCACACTATCATCTCACCTCAAAAAATTTTCTTTCTCCGTCCAAAGTGAAGGGGGGGGGGGTAGCCCAGGCTCCAAAGTGAAAGGGGGGTGAGATTTTTCTCAACCCTTCGCACCTATGCTTGATCCCGTTCTTTCCCTCCGAATTGTGTCTCCTACAGCATGCTGTAGCCCGCAAATCGTTGCAGACTCCAATGCGAAAGAAAATTAAAATTAAAAAAAACAGAAGAGTCAGACTAGTTTCAAATTCATCTAAACGACACGGTACCACAGACGCTGATCAAAGATTTCAAAATAATCCTGAACAGTTTCTTGCATGCCGTTTAGTGAGGGCTAATGTCTAGTGAGAGTCGGATAGAAAATGTTTTGAGTGATCAGATCTTTTTGCCTAAATCGACTAAAGCGAGAGCTGTTAGCTATCAGCAAGGTAGTATAAATGCAGCTAGCGTTTCAGATGTTTACTTGACAGTTGCACGATGTAGGTCAGTCCCAAAAATTTATGGCCGGCTCGTAGCAATTTTCAGCTGTACAAGCAGTGCCCGAATAACTCTCAGGACACATATGCGAAATGGTCCCTTGGTGGCTTTTGTAAGATCTTGATGAGCGATTTGATTGGAGTCTTTGCGACTATTTTGTTAGTGGTCTTTTTTCAATTCTAACCTGGGAAATTCAAATCCAGAACCGGGCATGCCATATCTCGAACTTACGGCATGGCTAAAGGGTGCTTGTTTTTATATTCATGCTACCAACATTTGTGCTTGTTATCTCAATTTTAGCGGCGCAGGTTATTTGCTCGAATGTATACGATGAACGTAGTCTTGGTAACATAAGAAAATCGGGGACACAAAGGTTCTAATTGTTTTCTCGTTTTTACCTCAGCAGACTTCATAAAAAAAGATTTCTTACAGCTTCGATCAAATGAAGTAGGAGATATAGAAATACAGTCGTTGTCGTCATATGCTGGGTACAGGGAGAATCCGAAGATTTTACTGAAGACGGTCACTTCATCGCTGGAGATATTGGAGCAGTTGATGAAGATGGTTGGTGTAGTGTCTATGTAGCTGAAATCTGGCTAGATCGAAGCTTGTAATTAACAGTATCACTTAGCTACTCTATGGGTGCTATCCTTCTTTTGCTAATTTGCAAATTCTGATTTATCCGATCAATAATTTACACATTTTCTGAGCAATTTTTAGAAAAAAAAGAATTTATCAGATGTCAGGGGCGCTTGTCTGATCTTATCTGTATCTACTTTTGGAATGGAAGGGTTGCCGAATTTTTGGTTCAGGTTGATCTCGCATTTTTAGTTTTTTTTTTTTGCGGAACTTGTGTAACAAGCCTTCACTCAACTGTTTGGTTTTATCGGGGCCAGTTAGCGTACCGTTATTTCAAAGCTATTCGAGAATAAGGCAAATATTTCCGGGTACCTAGACGGTGAAGATTTGTCATGGTCTTCAAAAGCGCTCAATTTGTCTTTAATTTAATACCCATCAATACGATCTTCTAGTGACGGCTGGCACTTCTTTTTCCTTCTTGACTTCCTTCACACTGCATCAAGTTCACAACGTTTCTGATTGATTTGGTCAGTACTTGGTGTGGTGTTCATTGACAGCTCCAGTTCCACTCGTAGTTGATGAACGTCAATTTTACGTAAAGTTTCAAAAGCTCGGAAAAATTGCACATACAGTTTGCCCCAATCGAGATCAGGCCGAACCGTCGGCTGAATTTGCGCGCTCGCTGCGCTTGGGGATTGCGCTGCATATGCGCGCTGTCGCAGAGAGTGAAGAGATCGAGGAGAGAGCAGACTAGCTAGCCGCAGATGTGGCGTGAAACCCTCGCTGCGCGGACTCCCGCCATGCCGATTTTGGCCTGGTTAGGATTGGGGCAGACTGTATTCAGCATTGTTCCAAATGAACTCTTGTTTCTCGATTTTGAGCCCCGGAAAAAATCCATCAAATACATTTTTGGGTACTACTGAATGCTTTCTATATAAAGCAAGTTGGAAGTCCGTAGGAATTTTCTGGAAGGAGATACTTTTAGGGTAGCTGAAAAATTTGATTTTTGGCTCCAAATTTTGTTTGGATTACGACTTAGGTGAATCTTTCGATCTTTTTGTAGAGATTGCTCCGCTTTATCGAATAGCTCTCTGAATCTGTTAGGAGAAAAAACAGCTCAATTTACTTGAAAATGGAGTTTACTCTTGGGACATCCCAATATTTTGCTTCATCACTCCCAGGGAACACTATGGCAAAGGTACAAAAAAACGTTCATTGAGAGCAGTACAAGCATCTGTCATAGTAGTAAATAGACCTGTACAGTAAAAGCTACCTCGCTTAGCAAATCCATGACACCATAGATTCTACTTATGAGTGCATTCCTCCCCCCAGTAGTTACCATACATCTCCATCCTTCCTGTGTAGATGATTTATAAAGTATTGTACTCTTGCTATGTAGTTAGGAGTTGCGTCAAAGCAGTTAAGATACATTTATATGGTACTTTTCGAAAATAAATCTTCCTAACGAGAATGTTTTTCTACATTCTAAGTAGATGTCTATACAAACCTGATAGCTTTGAGCTGGAGATTGAAAAAAAAAACAGAAAATTTTCGAAGCCATATCACTAATAATGACAGACATGAATTCAAAAGGAAGTGTAACATAGCTGGAACCTCAAGAAGTAGGAAAGAGTCTCGAAAATGTTTATGAGCTGATTGTACTAGTAATGCGCGCAAAATTACCTCAGTTTAGGTTGATCTGGAAGATGTCCACGATATAGATGAAGTTTGTGTGGCGCAGTTGGTAGTGCTGCGGGCTCATGAGATGGTGGTCGGGGGATTAATCCCTCCAAAGACAACGCTTTGCAGAGTACTCATCCACTTTGTTGCAAAAAAAGTGCCAAGTACCTCAAACTTGGGCGGAGTTCGGCATCACAGGTTCAGCCTCAGTAGTGACATACGAGTGTAGATGGAAACTTTTATACAAAAATTATGTGTTCTTAGTAGAGAATTTCCCCATACTTTAGACAAAAACCGAAGGCGAGAGAAATACGAAGCAGTGAAAAACAGTGCTCAGTCGAAAGGTAAGCGAGTCGTGCGAGTTGGGGGTAACCAGCGAGAAGAAAGCAGGTGAGGTAGGTAACCACCGGAAGAGGAGCCAGATGGACCAGAGCAGGGGGCGAAGGCAGCAGAAGGAGAGGGCAGGGCAAGGTGGCAGGGAAAGAAGGGGGAGCAAGGGCCACCCGGGGAAAGGGAAAGAAGCGGAGAACCGGGATCCAACAAGACGGAGATCACCCACAATGTTACGACATATCACCGCGGAACCAAATAAGTGCAAAATCCCCCTCCAACCCAGACACACCCAAACAAATGCTACCAGGGTCCCCCAACGGTACCAGAGACGTCCCAGCGCTCAACCCAAAACCTCCATCATTGTAGTTTTGAGTAATAACTTAGCGACGTACCGGGATTTGAACCTTCAAAGCACCCATTGCAGCCAGATATGTTATCCACTCGACCATCGTACACGTTGATGAAGTCCTCTGCTCGGAATACATAACCCTTATTGTAAACTGCTGTGCTGATAAAAGGTTCTGCTAACACTCAATGTCACTGCTGAGGTTGAACCCGTGCTACGCCGCTCTTTAGTTGATCAACATACCGATTAACCACCTGAGACAACCTGGAATGTCCATATTTCCATTCATCACGGTTACTGTCCCCGTTACATGATAAAGATAGGAAGCACAGATAGTTTTCTGCATTTTTTGGGTTTTGCCACATAGGTTTGAGGTACTCGGCACGTTTTTGCAATAAAGTGGATGTGTATTTCGCAAAGCAATTGGATTTCAGAGGGACCGATCCATCGACCACCAGTGTACGAATCCACATCCCTACCACTTGCGCCAAGCGAACTCGTGAATTTATTCCCTTCAAGTCATACACATTTTTATTTTCCTACTCTCTGAGCTTTTCCGCTAAGCGGAAACAAGCTTAAAACATTACAGCAACTCGAGTCTGTCTGTCTGTTACTTTATGTCTTTGGAAAGTAGGTATGGCTATCTCGTTTATTATTTGTACACTATCTAAGAATTGTTATTCTGGTTTCATCGGCAGTAGTAAAATGACTATTTTCGTTTGGTGTTATTTAGTATTCAACTCGTACAATAGGTAAATGAATTTTTACTTTCCTCAGAAATTCTCTGCCTTTTAGTGACTCCGAAATTTCCTCTAGAATAAGAATGTTCTTTTTTGAGTTAAAAAATGAGTCAGCGAAAGAAGGCTGCATATGCTTAGCAAATTTTTTAGATCCGCTCGGTGGATGTAAGTACGTGACACTGTTACTTAGTTTTGTCGTCCGGAAAATCCTGGACAAGTGTGATTTTCAAAGTTTGTTTCTTCTATAAATGCGATTAGAGCATATTGCGGAAGGTTTTATTGATGTTAGCAAAGAAATCACGTATACACATTTTGCAAGGTTCAACAGTATGTATAGAAAACAACTTCAAACAATTAAAATTCAAAATCTCTACTTCTCAATAACATGTATGCAGACATTGATCAAGGATAAAAGAATGGACTGATGATGCAATGGATTGTGTGGGCGTAAGAGATTGGAGAAAGTGTACGGATAAGTATGGTGCCTGCATTAGTTGAAAATCCGTAGAAGGTCTGCGCCTCAGATGTGGAGATAACACATCTTACACACGAGAGGATGTGTAGGATTCTGGAAGCATGGAAGTGATTTTTGTAAAAAAGCGAGTACCCTATTTTCAGGTGTATAAGCCGCGGGGTGGACCTAGCTTACATCGACCAGCCCGAATGGATCAAAGGACCACGCAACCAAAGGACCCTAAACCGTGCTGCGTATTGCCTGAAAAAATCGTGCGGCATAAGGATCGCTTCTCGAACAATGAAACGGATGAGCAGCTCGTGGGAAAATTTGAAAAAGTGCAGCCACACTTGAAATTAGGGTAGGAGGGCAATCGAAAACCACGAAGGGGAAGAAGGCTCATGACGGAAAGGGGTAGAACGTGGCGGGCCTAGCCAATCACCCCATGTTGCTCTCATTCTGAACGAGTGTATCTTCTTGTTTTTGTAACCTGTGTCTCCTACACAACTTGATCCCGCTACTTCCAACATATATGGATTCTACCCTGCAAAAAATCATGCTTGATTCCTGCTTAGAATCTCCACGCAACATAGGCTTTCAGCTATGGCTTACTAGCTTATAGAGCAAGCATGAAGATCAAGGCTGATGACCCACCTTTCCTTTTCTGTGATGACCTGCAGCTGCTGAACAACCATGATAAAGAGCCGAGCTAGTGGCTGCTTAATGTTTGATTTGTTTCAGAAATGATTGCCGAAGCTGAGAAATTATCTTCGAAATTCTCCCAATCACCTAGTCTGCGTTTGTACAGAAAAAATTTTCCGCTCGGTGAATAAAAGAAGGTTTTTGAGTATGGTTTCCGGGATAATTCAGCTTTTTGCGCGGTTCATAACTATACGAACTTGAAAGCTCTTTTACTTTCATCACGCTGCAAATTTTGGCACACGAATATGCGTAGAGTTCCAGTCTTGAAGTCTGACATAATTAATGCGCCTTACATCTATCGCATTTAAAAGGGAGCGTTGAAGCTCGTTTGTTAATTGAAAGCTTTGAGATATATCCTTCTAAAATCACTATTTGTGAAGCAGCCTCTCCTCACTTTTACGAAGGCTACGAGACAATGAATCGTTTTAGATCAGTTGTCAAACTCAAGTTTGTGTATTTAAACGAAATTTTTGTAAGGTGCGCATGTTGTTCCAGTCACGAGGGCATTATCCCACAAAAATGCTGAACCAACTCCACAAGCATAAAGAAGCAAAATTAGGAAGTGCTGGCAGTGCAAGTATGAAAGACCAACAAAGGTAATACCGATGATTTTGAGCCGAGGTGCGATACTTAATAGGTTATGCGAAAATAGGCAATGATCTCAGCAGCCTGAAGGATATCCAAAATGCAGAAGTTCATGGCGTGAGTTGTATGACGGGACCTTTATTTGAGATTACGGTAGATGTACGGTCGGCTTGCTCATTACGAACATCATACTTTTTTTTCTACTGGAGCGTCATCCTGTTTGATCCCCCCCCCCACCCTTAGTGCATATCAAAACTCACGGGCTATTCTGGTAGAAATCGATGTTGAGAGTTACAGTTTTTAAAGCCTGTACAAATAATCTGGGCCTTAGCCAATGATGAAATTTTTTGCATTGATGAGCGGTATGTCGATAGTGCCTTCGGAGGAATAAGGCACTATCGACATATCCTTATTTCACGCAAGTAAATTGAAAAATTTCGCTCGACTGCTGAGCATAAATTTCTAAAGTTTGTTTCGAATTTCTCGAGTTCCTTGATTCTGCCTCGGTCTTTGTCCACGCCAACTGCCCGGTGTTGAAAATCGCCTAGTCTTATTTCAGCAGCACTCCACTTCCCATGATACGGCACCGAGCACGAGAAAAAGTTAGCAACATGAACACTTTACTACAAGACGCTCAAAATCAATTTATTAAAAATTGTCGCAATCCGGCGGAGTTCACCGAGTTCCGCGTCGCATCATAATATCTTGGTCCATTGTGGGCAAATATAAATCGCACCGTCCGACTCAGTTCTGCGAGGCGCATCCTCTGATATATAGTGGTCCCCGTTCGGATACGGTACGTACACGGTAGAGGGTTAAACTTCACAAGTATTTTTTGACTCTTCCTTACGGTAGGCCACGTTGGCCACAGTGTGCTTGTTCATTAGGCCTAAGACATACCTCACGCGATTCGGCCGAATCGCCACTTTCACGCGACTTGGCGATTTGCCAGATTTCTACAATTTTATCGTGCGCGCTTCTCGGAGCATATTTGGGTAGCTTGTGTAAGTTGTTGCAAATGAGCAAGTTCTGACCAAAGACAGCGCATTAACGACGAATCACGAGGTGTCGCTGTTGTGCCAAATCGCGCAGCGACCGGAATCGCGCGAGGTATGCCTTAGGCCTTACACACTGAGTAACCTACCGTAAGCAAAAATCCATAAAACATGACCGTTTTCTGCAAGCAAATTGACACTCCTACATATCAGAAGATGCACTCGCCAAGCCTAGTTGGACGGTGCCCTTGAATTTCAAATTCATCTCTTTTAACCAAGGGCAATGGGAAGCAAATTTCAATGAACTTCGACGAAGTGCGATGACTTTTTTGACTGATTTTGGGCGATATTGTATGCAAACTCGTAGCTTCCTAGCTTGGATGAGCTATAGAAAACAAATCATCGCTTCGCTGCTGTTTGGTAACAATAGCTTCGCTTACGTTAAGCTTCTGCTAGACCAATATCACGAGGTAAGCAAAAGTCGAGTGAAATACACTATTCGTAGTAAGTCAGTGGGCTAATATGCGTCATTTACCTAGTCCACAACCATTTAAATTTCAGGACGAGGCAGGTGGGGCTCGCCGCTGCCGTACTTGCGTACTAAGACATATGACGGCTATGACAAGAAGTTGTTCTTTTTGTATAGTTCAAATTTTCTTGGCTAGAACCTATTTGATCGTCTATATTTTGTTGGAATGGCAGTCAACGAAGTCTTCAAGCGTTGTTTCCGCAGTGAAACTCCCTTTTACATTTTGCTCAAGATCTTGTGAAATAATGCAGTAGAGTGCGGTCCTTAGGTGAGCCCATCTTATCAGTCACTCTTATGTACGAGTGGAATAAGAACCTGACGGCTTTCGTGATGCCAATATAAAATTTTGCATTTCTGATGCTCCTTCTGTTCCTAAACTGAATCTTACTATTTAATTATCTGACTACTTTCCGTTGCATCAGCAGCCAGAGTCATTCGTCGTCGATTTTGGCAATGTTTTCTGATTTTTTCAAAGAAATGCGGTGCAATTGCAATCAAATGCGATCTCCATGGTAGGTTTGCCAAATTTCGAGTGATATAGTATAATGTAAGACTTTCTTGAGAAAGAAGATCGCTTTCGGTTATTTTCGTACAAGATGAAACAATTATTTTAAGTTCATCGAAAACAAGGTTTTTTTCTGCCACACTGAACTGTTGTTCTGACGATCCGACATGTTTGTGAAGCCAAATCTGTAGTGCTATATTGAAAACAGCATTACTTTCTTTTTTAGAGAACATATCACCACTGTGTGCACCTACACACTGGATTACTGGGAATGTGGATCAAAATCGTTTGCTCCCAGCCACTCTTGCCTATGCTCCAAAAGTACATAAATTGGGAGGAGATTACAGTTGTGAGCCCTAGTCTACTCACGTAGAACATAGATTGACGAAAAGTTAAGATGGGCACACTCGCTCAAAAGGTCGCATTCTACTGCCATTATTCCGCTTCATCTTATTGTTAAGAAAAAGCAAGCAACTTCGTCAAACACTACGAAAACGACATCCAAACATTCGCTAACTGTTATATCAGCGATAAATAGCCCATTACACTGGTTATCGTCAAGAAAACTGTAAATAATACAAGAAAGAACACGCTGGCGTCACGGAGTTAGCGTCACATGCTTTTGTGTGCAGGTACGGCCATAGCCCTCATCCGGAAATTCGAGGTGACTAGACAAGTGACGCCTACTATGACTGCAATCACTACAAGAAGCAAATTTACCCAATTTTTTTTACTCGCCCGCCAAAGGACCATGCTTGGACTTGTTTTTTTGGGCATTTACGAATCGGAATAATTTTTACTGTGTAGCCCGAAGAACGCACATGTCAACATCACCAATACTTCAATTATAACCCGTTCGAGCAACATATCGCAAACTTCAGAACAAATGAGACCACAAATTTTGCTCAAGATGCTATAATAATCAATTTTTGATTTATCACCCAAGATCGAATGTTGCTAGATGAAGGTAAGAGACTAATGGCATTACCAAAACACAAGTCTACATTATAGTCACCCGTAGCAATCGATAGATAAACCCACCTAAAATTATTTCACAGCTTAATCTAATTTTTCTCCATTTACGTGGCATTTTGACTTTTCTGGCAACGTTTCCTTGACTTTTTCTAAACGTATCCTATAATTTCCAGAGATACCGCCACTAAAGAATGGCAAATAAACAGATCCAAGTGACTCATCTTCGCCATACATGGAATAAATCTATGACTAGTACTTTATTGATAATTTACAATTGATAATTGTTACAAATGATTGCACCTCAAGGTATACGACAGGAAATCCACGTCCACCGGTGGTTTCATCCTTTTGCGTGTCAACCAAGCGACAATCGAGAAAGAAAGATATAATAAATATTTTCAGACGACGTAGATCTTCAGATGACAATTGCCAAAAAAAAATGCACAAATGGTGAAATGGACAGGAGAGGAATAGAAATGTCGACGGGAAAAGCACAGGACAGGGGAAGGGTCTGGTATCACAAACAATAAACAATCGAGATCGATGTTATAAGCCGTTTCTACTAATTCATAATTGCACCGATAATTCTAGAAGCGCCGATTAACAGCCATTCTTTGCACAAATTCCTTTCAAATAGAGTTTCTCTTTGCCCAGCTGTTGATTATTATTCAGGTGTAGGATATCCATGTCTGGGCGGTTCTCCTCATCGGTCGACGACGAAGTGAGCAGCGACGATGTGGTCAACACGGACGCAGCTGACATGTTACCATTCCGGATGTCTGCAGCGTATAACTGCAAAAAAAAACCCTGTGGTTTAGGACCCCGGAGAGGAAGGGACCACTAGCATTTGAGGACGTACCGTCTCTCGAGCAGCTGAGGTGTTCAAGGTCTCCGGGACCGTCGATGAACGAACAGGAAGGCTCTGCTGTATGTGAATGTCAATAACTTGACTTCAAATTCTCAACAAAGGAAACCAACAAAATGGGGGAGGGGGGTAAGAAAATGGTCTACATGAGTAAGTAAGAAACTATGTAAGTAGTTTGACTCGTGACTAACGGAGACACTTCCGAGGTCAAGCAAAAATCTCCGTAAGAAATTTGAGCACATAGCCTAAACAACGCCCCTATTCAAAATCAGAGGGTTCCATGAGCTAATTTCTCAATACTGTTTGATGTCACGCCCTTTCGTGATAAAAAAATTCCCTCAAAAAATTTGCTCTTCGAATATTTTCGTGAATTAATTATTAATCTATTAATTATGCCTGTAATACTAGGGTCTGGCTCGGAACTTTACTTTAGGGAACCGTGAAGTCCTTTGCGAATATGGATCTGCCCGAGCAGTGGAGGTCAAACAGCGTTTTCAGGAATCTTTATATACTGTAGTCCAGAAGTTGCTAAGATAAAAAACCAACCTCCGTTTTTGCCGATTCCTCATCAATACCACATAGTTTTTCGTTGAGTGGACTAATAAGACTTGTCACTAAAACAAAAAACTGTCAGGATTCTAATACATCTCAAGGTATCGCCTTGAGCAGCTAGCAAAACTCAAACTTTGCTTAGCGGGCCGCTCGGCAAAACTTTAATTTTTCAATCATTTAGAAGATGTATCTCCTATTCATTTTTCGACTGGAACATTCGAGAATGCTACGCATACAATTCTAACAAGCCTCAACTCGTCCTATCGAAAAACATCAGAAGGCGTAAAGCGCGTATAACTTGTTGAGCATAGAGCATGCAGTATTCTCGAGTATTCTAGCCCAAGAATGGGATGATACACAACAAGATTACCGCAGTTCATTTCAGATGGCGGCTTTCAAGGGAAATAAACACATTCCAGAACACACAGAAGCCACACGTGCTAGCATGCAAATATACAGATGTATAGTCGAGACCGGAAGTGGAGTTTTGGTGCGTTCACTGCACTGTTAACACTCTGAGATAATAGCAAATAGGATTCCGCTACAGTTAACTGAGATAAAGATGTAATCGCTCACGTTATCCAAACAATTTTTGGGCACTGTATGATTTTCTGGCCTTGCAAAGTTGTGATGGAGTCATTAGGATCAACACCCCGAAAAAAAAAATCACCGAAAAAATTGCGTTCGGGTTCCATGCGTAATAGTTTCAGGACGAAGTTTTATGGTATCTCAGAGGACTGCGCATTTCCAAACATTTTCAGAGCTTGAGCTGGTAAGTTATTGCATCAATTTCTATTCAACTTGGTAGGAAGTTTGTCATCCAAGAAGATTTACCTACTCGACGGAATAGTGGAGTCACACAGCCTCATGCAGAATTTTGGTGAAAATGGTGAGTTTGTCTGTGATTTTGCGTAACGGAGTTGAGTTTTACGATTGAATCTAGGCATTTGAATCAATGTTCATAAAAACAGGGACCACCAAAATAGAAAACGATTTGGCAAGGTAATTCTTGTGAGCATAACGTTCGACATAAAACCTTGCATATAAAATTCTAACCGCATTGCAGCGAATATTATAATGTTTTAAGAAAAGATTGATTCTGTGCTCAGTGCGATTGCATCAAAGCCCGCCAACTTCAGACTTCGACTATACATGCACAGGTTTGTGTAAAAAGTTCAAACTTCATGTACTACGGATTCACACCGTAAATGCACGAACAAGTGAAAATGAAAACCTACACTTTCCGCTATATAACGGTTTCAGATTAAGAAAGGTGGGACGGGCTGAAATTTAGATTGATGATGTGTCGGGCTTACTTCAAGCCAGCTGGTGTGTATAATTCAACAGATGATAGTGCTAGCGCTGTCAGCATTCTGCACTGTTACAGTATGCCAGGCGGCGGCATTTCCATAATGCGGAAAGAAAAAAAAGGTGCAAACTGAATCGCAGGCTTCGTCATCATGAATGCTCTACAATGAAATAATAAACTAGCTTTGTGAGTTCACCACCACGATGCTGTTGATGTTAGGCTAGCAAAGCTGTGTCCGTTACGTGTACGTATGTGAATGTGTGTGTGTGAGAGAACTGAATGTTAGAAGTTCAGAAGGACAAGCCAATACAGCGAAAAGTGAAAACATGTCATCAAATATGTAAGAATTAGGTGCCATGATAGTGACATGCCATTCGCGCGAACAGCAAATTTGGCTATTTTCACGTTTGTTCGGAATGACAAGTGTGTTTTTGGAGCGAAAAGAGCCAAATAACTGGAATGACGACTGCGCAAAGCTACAACGCCTACCCATTGACGTGGTCGACATCGACATCGGCGTATCTGACGAAGGCGGTAGCTTACGGTGCGACTCAACTGGCTCACCGTGCCGAGACGGTGGTATTTGGTTGAATGGCTGGAATAAAGTCTAGCAGGTCGATTCTCAAGAAAAGGCCTGGTGGCCATAACTTATCATATTTCATAACGTTTGTCGCTGACTTAAAGGCACCGTCCAGGAAAATCTGGATCCATGGGAATTCTATGTGGAAAGTAATTTGGGGACCTAACTAGGGCACCGCCCAAGCGGCAGCACAGGCGGCTCACTAACGGCTGAGATATACGGTTCCAAACTGGACCTTAAGAGCGTATTTCGCATGGATCCATGACGCAACCCATCAGCTTCGCGTGAGGATCCACGCGTTACGGCCATGATACCATGCGAAATACAATCCCGGGGCTTAGTTTCGAAGGAAATATCTCAGCCGTTAAAGCACTACCGGAGCTGCCGGTTGGGCAGTGGCTTACTTAGGGCTCCAAAATTACTATCCACGTTTGATCCCATATGTCCAGATTCGCCTAGACGCTGCTTTCAAAATCAGCTGCTGCTATGCATATTTTTGGCACGCGCTACACTTAAACCACTTCCGCTTGAACCACTTCGCTATTGGTCAAATCAGTGAACTGACCAAAAGCAAGGCTGATGTACACTTGATCCGCTTCCACTTCGCTATTGGTCAGTCCGCTGATTCAACCAATAGCGACGTGGAGGAAGTGGATCAGGTGAATCAAGTGTATTAAGTGTGGCGCGTACTTTTGGAAGCACAAAAACCAACAACGTTGCTCTGTACGATAGTTTCAGTACATTTCAATTAGTACTCTTTCAACTCCAGCTTTTGATGTTTTTCATTAATCGAAATGTTCAGCTTTGTGTTATTAATTTTGAAAATTCCGGAATAAATTCCTTACTAGTGAGTTCGTGTTTGGAAGGCTGACGGCTCGCTTCATGCGGAACGATTGACTGGGAAGGCCCAGATGCGATAGTCTTTGATGCCTATCTCTCCTAAAACAGAGTTACGATCAAGCAGCTTCTTCCGTTAGACGATTTATGTCACGACTGAGCCAACCTGCTCAACATATTTGTGATAGCTACTTCTTGTCGCAGCCGATCCAACTTCAGCATTGATTCGACTGCTTGTATAGATTTTGTATACGCTTCAATGTAGCTAAAATGAGCATTGGATTTTAAGTCATATTTTTGGCATTTGATCGGGAGTGAGACCTTAGCTGCTTGTTTGAACATCGCCCATCTTCGCCTGCTTGCTCTTCTTCTGCCGATGCCGTATGACGTGCCGCCATCAACGCAAGAGAAGCTCGTTCTTCCATATCGTGAGAGGACTAAAATAGGAGAAATACAATACCGCTCGCTTTTTTTGAAAAAAAAAGACGCACAGTCGCCCGATTCATGTGACATCATCGTAGCATGGCCATATCTCGCCTCAGAGTGGGCGTATTCTTCATCGAAGGACACCATTCGACTCAGCTCAGCCGCACCTTCCGATATATAGAAGTGCCTGTGTCCGAGGCGGGCACTTCTATATATCTGGAGAAGCGCCGCGCCAAGCTGAGTCGAATGGTGCTCTCAGATTCAGAATTCATCCTCTCTGAAGCGAAATATGGCCACACTACGGTGATGTCACATGAATCGGGCGACTGTGCGTCGTTTTTTTCAAAATATACGAGCGGTAGGTGATAAGACGGTCTACAATTCCAGAATGCTAAGATTACAAGATAGTTTTGAGGCACGAACAGGTGCCTTGATAAAGAGAGGAAATAGTCCACCCACCTTAGGCAAATGAGCGACAACATCGTAATATACAGCGGTACGATGTAATGGATCAGCACCAACGATTCGTTTCCGTATACGCTCCGTAAGACTGGCCTTTTTGTAAATATTGAGGCAAACCCGTTTGCGAAGGACCAATTCCATTGCACATGGATGCGACAGCCGTACGCCGACCTGAAAAAAATTCAATTCTTCGTCATGGCTGTGAATCCCAGCTCAAATTACAAACCTTAACTATAGCATAGACCCTTTCATTTGACGATGTTGGCACATTCAGCGCTGGTTGATCGTGAATTGAACTGTCCCATGAGCACGTTGCGATTAACTGAAAACAAGAAGCCTTTTACAACAAGTACAGCAAGTACAAATCTAAGAAAGCTCATTACCTCCTTATCATCAAAGTGCACTATAGGTAGCATTATCAACGGACCACCGCTTTCTTCTTTAGGCAAAATTGAATGTAAACCCGCAATGCGAGGAGTATTCTGGAAAAGGATACATTAAACCTAAGTATTTGCTTAAGTGCTCATTCTACCTCATCACTCGTCAATTCTCCTGTCATATCGTCAGAATTCAAATCAAGAAATAGTACTGGAACATGCTCTTCAACACCAGGAGGTGGGATCCTAAAAAAAGTAGATCATAGAGATGGTATTTCACTGATTTGGATATCTTCACAATGCTAAAAAGCTAAAGAACACACCAATCACAAGGCGCCCCAGGAATGTCCGAATTTGGCGCTGGAATGGACACTGCCGTACGTTCTTCAGTCAAAGATACCCACTGACCCATGAGCGAGTGCTCTCTTTCAATCTCAGCCTCGGTTTTGTTTGAAATCGAAGAAAGCTGAATAAATTTCACATTACTTAGGTTTCAGCCAAATGACAAACGTACCGAATCTAGTTGTTGTTCTAAGTACTTATGACGACTTTGCAGCGCCAGAGTCCACTGAGCTCGTATTCGTTCAAGATCTTCTTCCTGGAACGTAATCGTGCAAGTTCAGCGTGGAAGTTACAAAGTGGAACGTTTTTTTTTACCTGGTAGCTATCCAGCATCCTTGCTTGAGAAGCGTCACTGACACATACACATCCGATGCTGACACTGGTTATGGTATCTATACCAAGTGGTAAGCCTGCACCATGTTGAGGAAGGGATAGTCCAACAACTAGCCTTCTTTGTTGACCCTCAAATAGATAATTTATGTTTTAAGTTACCAGCACTGGATTACTGTACTCCCACCTGTTTAAGCTGATGTACTCCACCAGTTGCTACATCCTCCTGCTGCCGAACTTCTACCGGAATCCACTGCCCAGTCTCATTCAATTCTCGGAACTCGGTCCACAACTCCAAACGCCGCGAAACCTCCGACCACCTCGCCTGAACACCCACGGATTATTTTTGGAAAACCTATGACTATTCAGTGAAATTTACCTGCAACGATTTGTTCTTCTCTTCTGCATCTAGTATAGGTTCGGCAGTATCAGCAAGACCTCCGTTGCGATGTCCCCATACTTCAATGGACAAAGCATCGTCTTGGACATATTCCAAAAACTCCTCGGTCACCACTACTTTGAAGTCCTGCAACATTCGTAGTGAATTTGAATTAAGCTACTAATCACTTAGGTAGTATTCGTACTTTTTCATGATCGAAAACGAAGGTCGACGCTTGAGTTTGCGATTCTGAAGTTTGCGAAGGATCGAACACAGGCGCTACGACGAGCATTTCCGTTAGGTTGAAGAAGGAATACTGACAGAAGACGAAGTGGGACAATGACTCAGGAAGAGACGACGCCTTCTTTATGCGAACCTAGAAAATGAAAGATATATCTCTTTCCATCTACCATATGCAAATATTGAGCTGCAAATGAGTTGGAAAACTTCATTCAAATTGTATAGCTGTGTTTTCTAACTCTCATGGAAAAACGGGTCAAGAAAATTTTTTTCTGTCGCGAGGTAATTATTTACCGTGACAAAATCACTGAATTACTAGTTTTTCTTGAAGTAATTTCCAAAAGATGACGAGTACACCATCGCTGCGCTACTGACAACTAGCGTTTCAAAGTAACTTTCAATTCAACTGGCATGGCGGCTGGAAGGCGGGGCTTTGCAAGCTAATTAAGCCCGCTCGCGCCCGCCAGTCTGCGTCTCTCCCGCGCGCGTGCTCTCTGGTCATTACCTAGCCTTAATTAGGTCACGAAGCCCCGCTTTTTAGCCGCCAAGCCAGTTGAATCAAAGGGTATACGACAAAATATTGGAAATATTTTTGTTCACGCTGTTGCGAAGCTTGTCGCTACAAAAACTTCGCAGTGAGACTCGACAGAGATTTTGGATTTGCAAATTTCTAGAAAACTAGTGGACCAGTAATCTCAAAGGTGCTAGTTGCAGGCGCGCTCGCTTCGGGACCCGCTCCTTTTTCCGTTATCTGATGATTTTTGAATGCACCTTACGATTCTTTATATATTAGAACTGACATATACTAGATCACTGACTCAGATGGTATTTTTTTATTCAGAGTATACAAACTCAAAAATAAACTGAGAAGAGTTTACATAATACATGATAATAATACATGAACTAGTTTTATCAATAGTACTCGATTAGTTTCAGCACTTCCTTTATGTTTCCTTTGATTAAAAAATAAGATTTTTTCGAAAACTTCCATGAGCATATTACAAGTGAAGCATAAGCTACCACTTACCCGACAAGTAATTACTTTCCCAAGTAAGCTCTCAGCCCTTTCCATTCCTTCACAATCAGGCGACTGCACTCCTTCAGTATCGCAGTTCGGTACCCTGGAAAATATACACTGTTTTACGCTAAGAAGTGTGGGAGATGGCGCTTCAAATTTTTTATAGAGAACACAACAACTTTTGAAGTACAAACCTATAAATCTGCACATGAAGACGTCCAGCAACTTCGCCCTGATGGGAAATTATTGGCACCTGAAAGAGTTGACTTCAAAAGAAGCTAAGCATTGGCGAGATTTCCAGACCTGATAATCGAGCTTCATATCATGGAACAAAACCTCCAAGAACACGTTGGCTACCCCAATCAGATTGTGATGCTCCTGGAAATGTAAGTTTTTCCAAAACAAAAATTGCATTATGGCCAAGCAGACAAAAGTCAATCAAATTCACGAGCAGCCTGCCACTATTTGAATAGCACAGCTCTTTGGAACTTATAAAAGCTACGTGAAAATTTTGAGAAAATTTAGCTTACCTGACTCTCAAAGAAAGGGTCAATCATGACTTCATCTACCGATGTCTGTGGCACAGAATGTGATGGTGATCCTTCAGGGCTAGAGGCACATGATGACTCCCTAGAAGCTCCAAATATTCCACTAAGTATGACGGGTTATCATAACAGAATATCTTTACCGTATGACTCCGTTTAGTTTGTCATTGTACATCTCTCTCATATCAATTAGTTTGTTCTCCAGCTGTGCAACCGTCCACAGTTGGCTACCGCTCATTCCGGCACGGCGGACAACTATCACAGGTTCGCAGACAAATGTTCCAGCCTAGGATATTCAACATATCCGCAGCATCACGCAGGAGTCATGGCCAAATCACCTTGATTTTGCTTGGTCTCAAATTCGCTGCAGGAATTTGAAGAGTCACGTCGTATGTGGTTTGCCGTCGAGTATTTCCAAGCTCACGGCTGATCATGTTAGCCTCGCGGGTCAGGGCATTTGCCCGGACCACATCGCTCTTCAGCCTCTTCAAGGACTCGGCGAACATCTCCTCTCTGAATGGTAGAATGGGCGGAGATAAGTCCAAATCAAAAAGACAAGAGTACGTATTTTGACAAAACGCACTTTCTCTGAGCCCAATAGAAGAACTTGCTGCGAACCATCTGCTTCGGATTTGCTGGGAACGGAAATGGCGGTAGAGCAGTGCCTGGCGTGCCCAATGGAGTCCCGAAACCATATCCAGGAGTCATCGGTGTGGATGGGGTGAATCTGGAAGAGCCGGGAGTGAAAATCAGTTCAGCATCGCTAGCGATGCACAATGTATTCAACGTTGACGTCACCGTTTCTGAAGAAAATGTTAGAATAACGAGAAAGGAAAAGTGCAGTGCTGCTGTTGATTGGCAGTGAAAAGCGTGGTAATAGAATAGACGACGCAGCAATGCCGACTTTTTCGATTTCAGACTGCTTTCGGCTAAACGTTCAACTCACCCTCCAGCTGTTAAATTTTGGATGTAGCGTTCGAAGGCTTCATACTGCCGTTCAAGGGCGGCCTGCTTGTCTTCCTGATAGAAAAAAGATCATTTTGTCAACGGATCTGCTAATGGCGCAATTACTTGATGCTTCAACGTGACTTGCTCCATGTACTGATCAACAGCTGTTGAGATAGGATTTCCACCACCGTCACCGTTCACCTGAAACTCACAAGCTACCACGAGGAAAGGTCACAAAAAATTGAGCTTCTACCTCATGCCATGCGTCATCGTAGTCAAAGAGTACACTTTCATCCATAACAGACTGATTCATGTCGACATCCTAAATTTCACTTGCAATGCTAAGAAATTTCTTGTAGCAGCTAATTCGCGCAGTCCAAGATTCCTAGCCCCACAATACCCTAGATTTTAGCAGCAGTTTCACTCCAAGCCTAACTTGCGTCTAAGCTGAACTTAAATTTAAACAACCTATACCAAAGCCAAATGGTGAAACATCGCTACGACGCAAGACTCGAAACTTCCCTACATCTTCCAATCCCAGGCCTTTCCTCCTAAGGCCATTTCTATTGACTGTTCCCTTTCATATCGCTATAGGTACTGCTAAGACCGAAAGACTGAGTCTTTCACATATGTTAATAGAAAATAGCTTTCGCAAAAAAAGAAGTCACTATGAAAAAGGGCTTCCAGCACTTCTCCCAAGACTGTAGCTCTCAAATAACACTCCCTTAAAAGCGCCTGAGGTTACACTTATCTCACGGCATCTCGTTCAGTCATTTGGTAAGGGCGCTTTTTGAAAATAATGAGCGTGGAAGTACAAAATATTTGCAAGACCCGTCGTTGTTCTAAGACATCCACGCGATGTTTTGTTACTTTACGACCGCCTTTATCAATATTTCACACTTCTTCTCCATCTAAAAAGCCTTTATACCAGTCATGACCTTAGCAGCTACTACATGGCTACTTAGTAATGCATTAGGATAAAGAAATAACATCACATTTGTCTCTCCTCACCTTAGGACAGTTTACTCTGAAAAAGTGGTTCATTCCGATAAGAAGACGGTAGCCGTGCCGCAGTAAGGTCCGGTCAGATATTTCTCGTCCATTTACGCAAACCCTGAAGTTTGGTCTTTTATGCGTTGAAGTGGAAATTTGAATTTGCCGCCGGAACGGCTTTTTTTTCTTCGAAAGCCAGCGGCTTTCGCAGCTCACCTCCCGGCGTTCGACAGCGGCTCAACGTAAAGCCGTTGCCGTCCGCGTTCCTCGACGACACTCAGACGAGCGTGACGTCTCATCACACCTAATCCACGGAGCACGATACTGGTACGTTCACCCCCTGCAAGAATAATCAGATCAAATTAGAAAGAAAATCAATAAATATTCGATCGTCTTCAAACCTGAAGTTTCCCTGCGAAAAAATTTCTAAGCAACTCAAAAACTAATGAAAACCTACCATCTTTCTTATCCAGATCTTCAACAGACGTTCCGAGCCCAGAATCGAGGCTCGTTTCTATTTCATCCAGGTTTCCTATGATTGCAGTTGACTAAAAAGGAAAATTTACAGCACTTAGTGCATCCACCAGCATGAGTATACTCTAAACTCACATTGATATAGTATACGAGTAATTCATTAAGTGATGGATCAGCATTGAGATTAACAAGATAGAAACGATCCTTTTCAACTTTGATGCCACTTGATTCGATTGATATGCCAATTTCGGCCAGATCTCGCTGGCGTTCCTGAAGTATAGGAGAAGATAAGCTACGTTCAAACTTTTGATGAGGATACCAGAGAAGTTTCAACATCTTGATGAAACTCATAGGCATTATCTGGAAGGGTACTTGGTAGACTTGACAATTTGCGATGAGTTATAAATCAAAAAAAGCATTTTAGAATGCTGATACCCAAAATATTATAATCTGCTTACTTAATGAGAGAACCATGAAAAATTTATAGACTGAATTGCGTCAAAACAATTCTCCACAATTTGTTGAATTCCATTTTAAGCAAAGCGCTTAAATACGCCCAAAGTGGTCGGTATCCAATGCCTCAGTTAAATAAGGCAGCAAATTTACTTTAAAAGGTTATAACTTCCCCAAATGTCTTCGACAACGGTGGAATATTCCAAATAGCTTTAAAAACACGTCAGAGATGTACTCCATATAAACGACCATAGTCAACAGAGATCCTGTCCTAGACAAATTTGTTTTGTGCGAGGTGTGAGATTTTGCCGTCGAGATCTTATTTCAAAGCACTTTTCCTGTGAGTAAATTCGAAAAAAATACTAAGTTTTCTATAATATATGTTACAGTCTTTAATGCTCATTATAAGCCAAACTGACTTTCAAGAATTTCTGTTTGCAACAAAATTCGCAAAGAGACACGGACAATTATAAATAATTAATACGGATTCACATAGCAAGTCGTGACAGGATCTAAGCTCTCTGTATTGTTGGTTCTGTTGGCATCAAAGGCGAAAGGTATTGAAAACAGATTGATATTAGTAAAGTCTCCTTATCGTAAAGTCAGGGCATCTAAACAATTTCAGCTCTGGACTGGAAATCAAAGAAATTACAAAAAAATGCTCATATATTCCCGTTAATATCGAAGCTCAGAATAAGCTTAATTATCTACCAGAGGGAATCAAGTAGTGAAAGCGAATAACTAATTGTAACTGGCACCAAACATCCATAACCTCCTTAACCTTGCACTAACAATAGGTAAACCACCTTGTTGAGCGTTTCAGTCTCCTTGAGACGTTCTTCCCAAGATTTATTCATTTGAGCTACCAGCCTTTCGCTTTCTGCTAATCGTTCTCGTAATTCAGCAGTCTCCTAAACAATATCCATCAAAATCGATTTAAGAAGAAATTCGACTTACAGAATGTTCTTTAAGAGTCTGACTGATCTGCATTCGTAACGTCTCAACTTCTTCTCGCAACTCCCGAATGACCCTAGCGTTGGGATCCTAAATATCATATCACATTCAGTTATAACCCTCTAGCCATGATCGTTATAGCGCTCGTGTATCTATCACAATCTTTTACCTCATTAACAATGGCATGATTGACGATGCGTTTGGCACGATCAGCGTAACGAAGTGTAGACAGCGTTTCTTCGTAATTATCGCCTGCTGGGGATATGGTAGCGATCATTACAGTACGTGAATTTCCACCTAGATTGTCCTTGAGTAACCTGAATGAAGGAATTAACGCATTTTGAGTAGGAGTACGGACTTTCTCAAGCAACATTTATGACTTGTTGGTAAAAGCGGAACAGTAATCATAAGGTAGCAGAATATTTTTGAGATGCAAATTGAGGACCCCTTGATTCAACTGGCTTGGCGGTTGGAAGGCTGGGCTTCGTGACCTAACTAAGGCTAGATAATGATCAGAGAGAGACGCAGACTGCGTCGCGGGCGCGAGCGGCCCTAATCAGGTCACACAGCCCCGCGTTCCAGCCGCCAAGCTAGTTGAATCAAAGGTTATATTCGTAGAACCCGCTAAATTCAAACACAATTTGATTATATACAAGAACATTGTTTCTCAAAAATTTTTTGAAATCTCAACCAGAAGCTGAATGCAAGATAATTGAACGCACCAAGTAAGCACCGAATCGCGATAGGGTATAAATTTCTCCTTCTTACCATTTGACCGCTCAGCCAATGCGGAAATAACCATGCCCAAAGTGGTTAGGGATCTATATAAGACCTCGTGTATTACGTTTTGATGGATTAATAACTGAACTCGACTTACTTGTTGATATTTCCACCTTCTTCAAGTCGTTTACCCATAGCTCCTGTTTTTCCTGCTCGTTCACTTCCAGCCAAATCGACAAGAGAAATCTTGGCTACTTTCTCTCCAGTAAACTGAAATTTGCCAGCATTTCTAAGAAATACTAATAAAAACAAAATAGCCTACGTCCTTTTCCACGTCTTTTAGGATCTGTGTGAGTGTTATGTTGAATACAGCGTGAGAACGCGAACTTTCAGCATTCATATTCGTGGCCGCCACTGTTCTTGACTTGTTCCCCTCTTCGATTAACGACGCGATTTGCTGAAGGGAAGTTTTGATAATTGAATTTATGCAAGAACGTTGTGTCCCCCGGGGAAAAGCCGCTGCCCCTCTTAGGATGTCTCATTGAAAGTTCGTTAGCGAAATGCACTGATTTAGCAATGCAAAAAAAGTACCTGATATGAGTCAACTGCAAGAATAGATAGGCCATCGACAAGGGGTCCCAAAATTTTGTGCTCACGAACTTTGAGATGATGTTTATTGGATCTAAAGCGTACATTTCCCACTTTGTTCGAAATCATTTGCTTACTGCAACGCACTTCTTTGGGTCCAGAAGGTCTCGAACTCGTTCATTATAAATTTCCATATATGAAACTTCAACTTTATATTGTAGGGTTTCGCAGGTTGTCTCATGTATCCTTCGAAACACCTGACAATAACAGACTAAAGCTGAAATTCGAGAATTCACCCATACGAACCTCATTACATAGTCTAGGAATGATTCCTGGTTGTTCAGCTGTACCCATCATGGAGTAGGACTTACCAGAGCCTAAATTTGATCACTTGTATTCTATCTTCTATTATGAGAATTGATATTTTCAATTACCAGTCTGTCCGTAAGCAAAAATACATGCATTATATCCGGAAAATGCATTTTCAAGTACACCAGATCCAAGGCAGTTGAACACTTCTTCTTGGCCTTAATATTAACATTTGGACTTGAACGGTACAGTAACGCTAATTGAATAAACCAAATACCCTAAAATCCGAGATAGAGATATCTGCAGATAAATTTGTCCAAAGATAAGTCCGATAGAGATAGGCTAGTTCAACGTATCTGACAAGATTTTAGGGTGTTTATAATGAAAAAAAACATATCTGTGAGCGAACTTGACTAAGGAGCGACTCATCCTACTAGTCAAAAAACCGGCCTTATATATCGGATTTTAGGGTTTCTAAATCAGAACAGGTGGAACAATTAATAATAGCAGAGAATACAAGGAAAGGGACAATGCGGTACAATGACTGAACTCAACATAACAAAATGATTGAGAGAGTGATGAAAAAATTATAACGAAGCGATGATCCGGCGATGTTATGCTGTTATGTGCAAGAAAGATGCAAACTCACCAGCAAAATTAGGATCATTTGGATCTGTTGAATAGAAGGAATGGTCAAATGCGAAAGTCTTTGGTTGCTTGCTTAAAATTTTCCATATAACGTCAATCTGTAGCACTCGGTTGATAACTTACTCGTCGGAAACATGATCGAGTATCGTTTGCCCATTGCACATCCGCACGACGGCTTTTGTGCCCAAGTCAAGCTCTGTAAGACTACGGTAAATGTTTTGAGCTTTCACCTTGTCACACCGTATTCAACAGCATTTCATCCATCCACAGCGAGAACGAATGACTTTCATTAGGCCAGCCGGGAACATTACGCGCAGCGAGACCCCCACTCATTCTCGTCCTCGTCTCGGCTCCAATGAATTCCATCCGTCGTCACGCTTTCGGCGAGTGTTTTTCATGAGTTCATCACGAATTAATGGCAATGTCCCATGGTTTATTCGTAATAGCACATGATTAATGACATTCCATGCTCAAGTGAAGCTATGTGTTCCCCTTACTTACGCGAGGCGTCGCGATTATGAGCGCCAAACAAGTCGCGAATGGCGAGAAGATGAAAGCTTTTCTTGGCTCAGGTTTCTATTTACCACGCTTGCTCTTATAATCTCAAGCAAAACAAGGGAATCGCCTAGGCTTACTGGATCCAATGACTAAGACTGATGAGAATGGCTGACGTTTTCGAGAAGATTCAAGAAACTGACCTCTTTTATTGAACGGTCGAACTCGCACCGCAACTTTTACTTTCTCGCTTCCTTCTGCTGTCATTATGCAGTGAATATTTTAATGTGCAGATATGACTCCAGTCGGTAATGACAATATTATAAGGAATGGTAGAATGTTATGAATACTGAGGGATAGATATGTAGTAAGGTGCTCAATGGCACATCTAAAAATAGAATTTAGAATTAAGTAAACATGTGAAATTAGAATTGATCAACGATTGCAAAGGAATCCGAAGAAGAAAAAAAGTTTAAGACTTTGAATGCAAATGATGTACACACACCGGTGCATTTGAGTAAAACTGGGCACATCTATTGATTCACACAACACATATAATGTCAGATAGAAAATTCCATCCCCTACAAAGAACGTTCCAGTATGTGAGATCTAGTTATGAGAGAAGTGCTAAACACAGAGTGAAAAATAAAATTGGTTCAACGGTGGTAGGACATCAAAAAAGGCGAAGCTTATGCATCTCACAGAACTAATGACTGAAAAAGAAACTAAAAATGTTCTTTGATGCGGGTCATATGGCAGTAGGAGTTATGATCAAAGTAATAGAAACAATAAAACTTGATTGCACGAACTACATGCACAGAGAAATGGACCAAAGCGTTGGTGTAACAAAATGCTTCAGAGAGATGATAATGAGAGCCAAGCTAAGCAAACTGACTCATCGTCATTTTCAATCAGGGCTAGGCTGCAGAATGAAAACGTCAAGAGCGGAAATGAGCTTGACGAACTTCAGCGACACTCTCGAGGGGTCAGGCCACATTAGGTGAAAGTGTTGATGATAGACACACTTCGAGGCACGAACAACAATTGCATCAGCTGAGAGCTCTTGCTCAAGAAAATGTAAAGGAAAAGTAAAAATGATCCTTCCCTATCTATGGCCTCGTAAGAGAAGAGAAAATATGTATGTCTTCGGCACCTGAAGGATGATAGAGAATTATAGAGAGAATTTGGAAGGCGAAAAGGGGCGGAGAGCCCTTGCCGCTTTCGAAGGCTAATGAGGAACGAAGCAAAAGCCGAATCTAGCAAACTAGCACTTCGAGCATTTTTCAAAAAAGATGCAAATCATAACTTAGCGATCACAACAGAAGTACAAATGCTTTGAACCTGACAGCAAGACTATATGTAGGAAATAATGACATTTTCTCGTGACGAATGAGCATTGAGGAAATCTATTATGGACATGTAAACTAAGGCGAGGATGCCCTGATAATGATGTTTTGCCCAAAAAGACAGAATAGAGCAAATTGTTGCTAATGTTCAAGATCCGATAAAAATTGCACATTAGTGGATGCAACTAACTGTAAACGTAAGCATCATCTTCGGATTCGTGGATTTGGCACCTTATCAACATTTGAGAAGGACATCAATAGGGTTGTTTTCGATAGAAATCTTGTCTAGACTGCGTACACTCACAGGGCTCTAATTAAGCAAGTAGAGTATCAATGGACTGATGATCCTTTCGTCCTTGTTTCTATTCGATAAAGAAGTCATAGATATAGGAAAAGTGCATTACCGTTGGGTACCAGTATTAGAGCAAAAATGTGTGATGCAGCCACATTGAGCTGTGCTCAAGAAACAAGATAACAATACATTCTGGAGCTATATTGAAAAGTTCATAATGTTTACAAAATCTTCCAGTTTCACTACAGATGACCTGAGAAAAAACCATTGCACTTTCTCAAGGTAGCACATCGCTAGGCAAGAGCATCGCATAGAATTCATGCCATATATAATCGTGACACGGAATACCAAGTGATTCATGAGAACGTTGCTTAAACGCGCTGAATCACGAAAGAGGTCGAAAATGATTCCGTTGTTCATGCCTGGATACGTGTGCGTCACCTGTTGTTCTTTGAGCACCAACAGTTCAGAGCAAAAGAGGTTTTATTTCAAAGCGCACAAACAGAAAAGCTCTTTGATAAGTAACATGATTTCTCTCAAGAGTACTGTGGAAATCAATGACACCGATAAGATATGTCCTGTCAACAAGCAACATAAAGGGTCAATAGTGGGTGGTTTCGGTAAGCAGTATAAAAGGCAATTATAAGTAATTGATTCTGAGCTTTACATACCGGGATTGCAGACGATTCGAGTGACTTGAAAGGTTTTTATAGGAGAAGTACGACATAAAAGTGCAAAAGAGGAACGAGCTATCACTAGAAATTTTGATAACGATTCCAACAATCATCTGTGATTAACTCAGCAGAGTTGAATGGCACAGCTATCCATCAATCTGTCAACCGCGGGAAGTGATAAACTTAAATCAAAAATGGGAACATGTGCCACCTACGTTCGAGCAACTTTCAGCAACAATCTAATCAATGCTCTTTGAACGCAAAACCGAGGAATTATGTAAAAAAGCTGAACGGAATCGCCCGTTACGTGATTATTGTTCGCAATCTGTGCGTATGAGCCTCAAAAAAAGTGCGATAGAAGACCTAATTATGCTCAGGGCCGGTCCATGTTGCTCAGAGAATTTCGCGCTCGAATGACCTTTCAGTAACAAACACGATGAAAAGGGGCCATGTACGAAAGAGAGAGAGAAAATGTGATTTGGATGGGCGCGGGCGAGAGCCGCTTCAGGAAGTCGGTGAGTGAGAAGAGCTGCTGTCCAAAATGGTGTCTCTCGTTCTCCTTCGACTCATCTTCGTCACAGCAGTTGCTGCGAGGCAGAGAAGCAGTAGGACGAGCACGCGTGATGGTGAACAAATTGGGTTACCTTCGGCGAGAGCCGAGCCTCGTCGTCGCGAAAGGACAGCTCCTGCCAGCTCAACGCGGCTCCTCGCACATCCCACGATGTTCTTGTCCTCGAAGAGCCGGATTACACTGTGCCACTGAATTTTAAGCTGCACTTCTTTATTTTCACTATTACCTTGAGGCATGTTCCAACTGCGTACAAGAAATAGGATATCTTCGCATGTTTGAGTGCATTTCGCCTCGTCCCGGTGACGTAAATCAGGTGCTAAAAACCAGAAGGGCGAAACAATTGCTACTTGAGTCTTTGGATTTACCGCGAAAGAATGCCGCCTCGCAGATACGGCTGAGGATTGATACAGCTTGCGAAATCTTATGATAGCTACTAAGCATTCCACATTTTAGTTCCTACGCTTTTCCGGTCTCGCAAGAGCCCGTAGATATACTGCCATCAAATCGAGTAAACATTACAACACGTACAAAGTTGCTTCTAGTGTCGAGAGAATGTTTGTTAGACATAAAAGACCCACTTCCGCACAATCACATATCAATCGCATATGAATCACTGAACGCTAACGAAGGATGATTTCAAGTAAGACATACAGTGACCAATCTACTTCAGCCACCAATCGCTTACTTTTGGAGCAGATTTTGTAGATTCTACGAGAAACCTGAGTTGCTGCGATGTTATCGGATAGCATATCCAATCATTAGCATATTACCGGGGAGGAATGGAAATTTTGGGGAAAACTTCAAAGAAAAGAGAAGAAGAACATGGTGAATCTATCGCAAGTGCAATAGCCTCCGAAGCTACAGCATGCTTTTGAACCAAAGCGATGCAGCCTAAGAAGAAACTCGCTGAGATTTCTGCCAATATGGTTATTCCGCCTTGCCTAAGCAAACGCGATAAGGCTGTGTGTCGCCCCCAGTCTGTGCCTTTGTGCGTCTCGTCCGTCAGTCAGTGCGAGTCGTACGAGCATGGGGACCCCTCTGACGAGAACATTTCTGGACGAGATGCGGCGGCTACACAACAGGATACGCTCTGGATGTGATGAGCGACGAGATGAAAAACAACGACGACTCCTGCAACTGGTGGTTTTCGAATGCCTCGACACGAGAATTATGTCAAATAGAACATGTCCCGGGTCTGGAGGTCCAACTTCTTTATATGGCTCCTTCAAGATGGCAGACGAATTCGAAGCGAATGTGACATCAGCTGGCCAAGTGTAAATAGCGAGCAACAGCACAAAGCCGCAGATTATGCTCAGTACTCGTCAAGCCGCCAGCGCTTCCTCGATGCTTTAATGAGAAGAGAACGACTACTGCGGGTTTTGAACTTTTTTCTTAGCAAGAACAGCCTATGCTTATCGCCGCCTTTGTACTTCTGACCATAGTTTCCGAACCGTGCTGACCTATGGTCATTACTTGGCACGATCAACCCTTCCTTACAATTTTTCATCACTGGAAAATCGACATCCCTTTCTCGTATAAGCTTATCCTAAAAACCAAAATCATTTTCAATGTCGCAGCTTCCCCCCCCCCTTCTGGTAATCGCTCATAACTGCTTTACGTTTGTGATGTTCCTCTCGACTACATACTAATATCATTACTGCTGCCACATTGTTTGTTAGACGGCACAACTGCGACAGAAAGAAAATAATGTGACGCTAAACACAGTAGTGCAAAACAGTAGATTACACCTGCAATTGTAATAGAGAACCTCCTACGAACAATAGTTCTAGATATATAGATGTATAACAATTCTGATTCGAGAACAATACATGAAGTATGCTTGATTCTAGACATCTAGATCAAGTAGGAAGAGTGGCTGGTGAAGCAGAATCTAGTACATGTCCAAATTGGGATGATTCTGCCCGGAAGTCTAAAGTTCAATGTGGATTCATGCCGAATACACCATTAGTACAATAGCAGTACACAGTAGAGTACTCATCACGCTTCCTCAAAAGCAAATATGCGAGACACGAAAAAAGATTTGCAGATAAGTAAAAATTGGAACAGTACAGCAAAGATAGTATCTGAACTTGTGAGAGCACGTTATTCAAGTATTTTTCTATTTTTCTGAGTCATTCAATCGATCCCAACTCAAAATATGGTAATTATATTTTGGCGAGCGTCTTTCCAATTCGAGTGCGGGATGCTGCAGAAGCGGCAATCAGGAAAATTGAATTGAAATTTACGTACGAAAAAAGGGAAGAAAGGGCTTTGAGATGCCATTGGTGAAAGCAAGCTGTGAGCATCGATATTCTTTCTAAGATATTTTGTCAAAGAAAATTTTGAGAAAGTAAGTGAAGAGCCGAAAAGACGACAGAGCCCAA